GGTACCATCCGATGGCGTTCTCTAACCGGCCCACCTACACCAACCAGAAAGGGCAAATCTCAGACATACATATCAATACTGGCAAATTCAGAACTAACTGAGGCTACTGTTAGATCTAAAAGAATTATATTTAACCACACATAAATATGCTCCACACCATCAGAGCATTTAAAAAATTCCAGTGCTTTACGTTTACTCTTTAGTACTTTCTGACTACTGACTGTCTGAGGTGAAGAACAGCTGTGTAAAGCCAGACTGATATGAAACTTTTGAGGCTAAACTGTGAGACCAATACTGATTTTAATACTAATACTATTTTTTTATTTGTAATTTGTTTTAAATTTATACCCTGATAATTTTAAAATTTCCAACAGAATAGAGGCAGTGGTGCCATGACACACACACAAAACAACAACACTCTAATTATCTGCAATCTCATTGGTCAGGTCCTAATATAGATGACACAAAATATGAGCGTTTACCTACAATGCGTGGGGATTATTGTAAGAACTGACTCAAAATGCACAACACTGATGAAACGGTCAAGAGTCATATGCATGTAATAAACAGACTAACTGATCTGACCTACTGTCATATTAATAAATACACTGCTATCAATGTGAAAGACCACCTGTAACAAGGTGAGTTAAATGGGAATTACACTAGTTTTTCAAAACCTTGGCATAGTTCAAGGGTCAAGATGAAAACAAAGTCCTTCAGAGTGGTTTGGTTTGAAGTGTTTCATTGTAGAGACACTTACCAACTTGGATTTCTTTACAGTGGTCATTATAGGAACCAGGAGTTGCAATGTTTACAGTGCAAATATAATAATTTTATTTACTATCCAAAGCCACCAGTGAACCTACAAAAGTCTTCTGAATATTTGAATATAATAATGATGACAGTAAAATAGAGGTAAATCTAGAAAAAACATGAGTTTTATTCTGGACTATTTTGCCTCACAACATCCTGCATGTATCTCTCCGCCATGAGTGTATTAGAAAAAGTTTTAAGCCGAAAGACTGCCACAAAACTATCTTAAAACAATGTCTCAGACATCAGCAGCGTAAACATAACCATTTATTTTTGTAATGTTCTGTGAGGGAGCTTTACAGGCAATAAACTCTTCAGACGTCTGGTTCCCATCAGAACTGCTGTGAACATTTCTGGCTCGAGCATTTCACACCCAACCACACTGAATGACTTTGTTTACATCTTAACTACTGACCTATGCAGAGATTTTGAAAAGTCCCCTTTAAAATGTGTGCTACCTACCTGTTTGGCATTCTCTATGTAAGCAGCCATGTACTCGTAGGCTGCAGCCTGAGCATTGACTCGAGTCTCGGTGCCCTCCACGGGCAAGGCAAAGCTGTCCATGATCATCATGGTCTCTCCATCCACCTTCCCCAGCATCAGCCCCATCACCTCCAGGTTCCCCCCAGAACGGGCGTGCATCACCATCTTCAGCAGAGCCAAGGCTGAAATCTTGCAGTATTTAAAGTAATGGTGGCTGTAAAGAAGAGAATAAAACATGTCAGCTTCCTTATTACACTTACATACACAACAGAGTAAAGAAACGACGCTGAAGTTTCCTATTCGCCCGCATCTCGTTCGAATTTTCCGTTCCACCTTAAACGGAGCTGCAGTTAACAGTTACAGGCTAGCACATGTAACTGAAGTATGCGTGACTCCTGTATTATTTAAGGTGGAACGGGGAAATTCACTAAGAAGCTAACTTCAGCATCGCTCTCATTTTTAGCTCTTATGGTAATGCAGTGTACACGACTGCTTACTCTTTTGTCCATGGTTTGGCAGCAAGGATTTCTTGTTGTTGCTTTTTGTCGTATTTGTAGATTTCATCAATACTCTGAACTTCTTGAATGCTGTTGGAGAGCTCCCAGGTCTTCTGAGCTATGCTACTCCCGGCCATAGCTACAACCAACCACGATAAACAGACTCAGACCCTGTACAGTTCACCAAAACAGCAGATCAGCTACGACACTGACAAAACTGAACTGTAGCTCAGACAGCTGACGATCATGAAGTAACACTGACTTTACAAACATACACAAGCCGAGGGTTTGGCTAGCAAGACGCTAGCTGATATTGTTGCTGTGTCTTCTGTGGCAAATGGCCGTTGCGAGCAGGGTTGCCAAATGTAGCCTACAAATTCCCCCTTTTCAGCATCTCCAGCTTCCAGCAGTTTTCCCCCCTCCATTCGTGTAACGTTAATCCACCTGTGTTTTCCTTATCTGGGGCAATTTCACAAAGCTGGATTTCCAGGTAAAGCTGTAAAACGGCAGTTAAAAGTCAGGAATATTTAATAATTCAGGTTTTTTCTATTTTTGTCAGGTGGACTTACCTTTTGGCCTAAGTGGCAAACTTGGAATTCGTGCTTGTTGGGATACCTCCCTGATTCGCCTTTATTTTTCCTTGCATACATATTTTATATTTTATATCTTATATTCCATTCTATACTGCAGGCATGTAGCAGCACATAACCTCAAACGATTATTTTGACGCATGTTACTCTTCAGTGTGTACCTTTCCAAGTGGATAAGCAAATTTGTAAGATAATTTACCTAATAAGGGTTTGTACAACATGCAAAATGTACAAGAAAGACTTTGTTCAGTTTCTTATTTAGGAACCAGTTACTTTCAACCTTGCGAGATGTAACTATTGTACAGTAAATATAATAAAATAAAATGAAATGCCAGAAAGAAAATATCAGACAACTATTTATTCTCTTGATCACAGCCTTTTTGAACAGCAAGACGAATTAACAGAAAAGGAGAATGTGAAGTTTCACCCCCTTTTTTTATTGAGGTTTTTCCCCAATATGGCAACCCGACGAACCAGGTGTATATGGCGCCACCAGCTGTTTATGAATGGAAATTCACTGGATTAAAATAATAACAATAATAATAAAAATGCCACAAGGTCTAGTTCTAGTAAACGCATACGTAGCTGGATATGTATCCATAATTATATTTATTGTCTGATTATATTGTTACCAAAAATGTATTATCTGATGTTGTTTATTATCCTCAAAATTCCGCACTTCCACATTTCCGCTTGTGTGAAGCCAGTATCCAAAATTTCAAAGTAAAAGTCACTATAAGACATGATTTATGAGAAAAGAAAAACAAAACAAATTTACTCACGAACTCACGAAGTTAAAAAAATAAATAAATAAAAAATTGAAACCATTCTAATAAAGTAAGCAGTGTTGCTAATGGTTCTTCAAAGGTTCTTTAGTAAAGGAAATGGTTCTATTTAGAAATATGAGTTCTATATGGTCCCCTATCATGTTTAAATGGTTCTTTGCATGGTAAAATGGTTCTATAAGATTGATGAAAAATGTGTTGTACATGGTTCTCTATAGAACTTTTGTTCTGTTTTTGTTCCATATAGGGTTCTACCGCTACAAGCTTGACATCATAACAATAGTAGAACCATTTTCTCCATACATATTCCATCAATCTGAAGAACCATTTCACCATGCGAAAAACCATTTAAGCATGAAATGGTTCTATGCAGAACTAATGGTTCTATAGAGAATCGTACATTTTACAAAAGAACTCTTGAAGAACCACCTTTTTAAGAGTGTATATTTACTGTCCAGACTGTTGAATGTCCTTTCCCATCACTCCAAGTAGACCTTCTCTTTAATAGTTTGATCGCATAAAGAAGTGTCTCATTGAAAAACATTACACGGTATAGAACTTCTTCTCCTAACTGTTGTGGGATTCTGAGAAGTGTTTCTCGTGTGTGATGCTGTTTTGGACCGGATCACTGATAAAACTCAGCTCTGTGATTTCACTTCAAACAATACTTGGAAAATCAGTGAGTTCCCTCTCTGTACAGAGACAGGACTTGCCCTTATTCGGTTCTTTTATTTCTGCAGACAAACAAACAAACAAAATGTGTCTTTGTGATTTTGATTGCTCAGAAAATATAAGAATTGTAATCAGAAGTGAGTGAAGAATAAATTATAACCAGTATCACATTTTACAGTCATTACGAGCAAGATGCTCAGTATATTTGCACAGAAAAAAGTTATTACCGCTTTATTTAAAAACTTTGTAAATATATTTACATATTTACAGAGTGGAACATACATAAGTAATTGTTTTTTGGTACCATATGTAAATAGTATTTAGAAAGATTTGTACTTTACTGGAGTATTTCTGAAACTGTATGCTTTTATTTAGTTACATTTCCAAGAGAAAAACATATTGTTTATAATACTGCTTACATTTTCTTTTAATATTTTAAAGTACAAATCACAAAGACTTGGATTTTTCTATTTTTCTCTTGTCGATCAGTCAAGTCCTCGAGTATTTGAATTTTTTTATTCATATCAGTTTAAAATGATACTGTCCAAAACTATGCTAACTTGTCTTTGTGGGAGTAGTACTGCTGAAAAACACCACCAGAAAAAACAAAGATCTGTTTAAACATTTACTTTTTACTTTTGATTACCTGAATATGTTTAGGTTTAGATACTTTTTCACTCAAGTATATTTTTGGACTCATATTTCCACTTTAAATTAGCTTTTACAAAATTCTCTTTTTTGACTTAAGTATCGTTTCTCAGTGATGAGATACATTTTTTTTTATTTTACAACATATACATTACATTCACATACATCACATTCACAAGATTTAAAAATTAGACAACAAAATTCAAAATATTTTCGCTTGCCCGTGTTTTAGTTTGTCAAAGGGCGCCATCTAGTGGTTGGCTTTTGTAACTGCTTTTCGGTAAAACGGTGTGAGATAAATTACTGGCAGCTTAATTGCTCCAAATAATACATCGGATTAGAATATATGTCCAAATTTTAATGTAAGCGTGTGATATTCGGTCTGTGTATATGTATATCTACACAAACGTCATCGCACAAAGAGTCGTACAAAGAGCGGCACTCTGCCTCCATCGGTCGAGATAAAAACTGCATTACCCATAAGCCTCTGAGCGAAGTTCACAAGTCATCGAGGAAGTGGGGAGCAAACCCTCTCATTGAAGCAGCTTAGGCTACTTAGCCGGTAAATAAAGTTACTAAGTCATTCTCTCGCTTTTTCTCTCAAGTCTTAAAGTATGTGGCCATACGCTCGATATATCTGAAGTATGGCAACAAGTATGAAACGTTTCCATGTGGCTTTAATAGTACCGCTAAGGTAAGACTGCTGCTTCTCGTTCAGCCATAGAAAATCAACCTGTTGTGCAGGTTGTGCTGGGTATACAGTTGTGCAATGATTGACCAGTGATACATTTCTTAATTTCACAAATTTTAAAACCTTAGTGCTTTTAAAGTTGTTTTTGGATATTAGTCAGTCACTTCTTAACTGAAGTTTCAGATGTTTTACACAGATCAAGCTGGCCAAGCACAGCTAGCAGGCAATATTTTTCTCAGCACATGGCAAGCTGTTGTAGATTAAAGGGCCGATATCGTGGAAAACAGAAATGGGATATAATGCACTGAATGGCCACAAGTACAGCCCTTTGCAGCTACAACAACCTCCAGTCTTCTGGGAAGGCTTTCCACAATACAGCGTGTCCCCAAAAAAATTGACATCATTTGAGATGTGAATATCTGAGTAACTACAGGTCCCAGGCAAAGTAAATTAAATAGGCTTCATGTTGAACAATACAAGATTTATGTATCAAAATTCAAACAAGAAATTCAGAGGGATGTAGATTTCGCACAAATGTTTCTCGAACCTGATTGACGACATCTTCTGATACTGGTGGTCATCCAGATCCCTTTGTCCTGCACAGACAGCCTTCCTCTTTGAATTTTTTGTGCCATGTCCAAATCTGCTTTCCAGTTGGTGCATTTTTATTGAATTTTCTCGAAAATGCACGCTGCACATTCTTGTTTGACTGTGTTCGAGCATATTCTAACACACAAAATGCCTTTTCATTTCTAGTGAACGCCATTCTTCAACCTGAAAAAAAAACATTAAAAATTAAACTTGGTTAGTTTTTACACATTTTGTTAAAATCCGAGATCATTTGAGGGAGAATTGGCTGTTATTAGACTATGAAATGATGTCAATTTTTTGGGACACCCTGTATTTTGGAGTGTGTCTGTGGGAATTTGTGCCCATTCAATCAAAAGAATATTTGTGAGGTAAGGCAGTGATGGTGGTTGAGAAGGCCTGGGTCGTAATCAATGTTCGACTCATCCCAAAGGCGCTCAGTGGGGTTGTGGTCAGGGCTCTGTGCAGGCCACTGGAGTTCCTCCACACCAAACTCTCCAAACCATGTCTTTATAGACTGCTTTGTGAACAGGGGCACTGTCACACTGGAACAGGAAAGGGCCTTCCCCAAACTGTTACCACAACGTTGGAGCATCTTATTGTCTAAAATGTCTTTGTGTGCTGTATCCTTAACATCACCCTTCACTGGAACTAATGGGCCCAAACCCTGAAAAACAGCCCCAGACCTTTATCCCTCCTTCACCAAACTTTACTGTTGGCACTATGCATTCCTGTTGGTAGGGTTCTCCTGGCACCTGCCAAACCCAGATTTGTCCATCAGACTGTCAGTTATTGATGCATGATTCATCACTAACATTCATCCACTGCTCAAGAGTCCAGTAGCGGTGTGCTTTAAACTCACGTCAGCTGACGCTTGGCATTGTGCATTTTGATCTTAGGCTTGTGTGCAGCTGCTCAGCCATGGAAGCCTATTTCATGAAACTCCTGACATGCAGTTTTTTCGCTGATGTTGCTTCCAGATGCAGTTTGGAACTCTGTAGTGAGTGCAGCAACAGCAGATAGGTGCTGCGCGATTCGCACTTGGCAGTCCCACTCTGTGCATTTGCAAGGTCTACTGCTTGCACAGTTGAGGTGTTGTTGCTCCTAACCACTTTCATTTCACAGAAATAGCACATCCAGTTGATAGGGGAAGATATAGCAGGACAGGAATTTCACAAGCAGACTTGTGGTAAAGGTGGTCTTTCATTTTTAGTGTGACTCTAAAAATGAGCTCTTCAGTGTTACTCCTTTGTTTGTACATGGAGATTGCAAGGCTATGTGCTTCATTTTATCCACCTTTTAGCGATGGATGTGGCTGAAACACCTGAACTCAGTAATTAGTAGGGCTGTCCACGTACTTTTGGCCATATAGTGTGTGTGAACACTATCACTATTTTCACAATGTAGCATTCACTCCCCAGTCAAAATATGATCACTAAGCTGCATAAACAGCCCGTTTTGAGTTGTTTTTGTCATGTCACTGTTAAGGGCCAGTCAGTACTGGGCTGTTGAATGCTGTCCTACTCTATTTTCATATTTTACAGGCAAGATGAATATGATCACATTCTTTCTCGTTGGACTTCTGGTCCATGTGGTCTTCTTCATCTCTATCTTTGACATCTATTTCACATCACCTTTGGTCCACGGGATGACACCCCAGCATGTCCCTCTGCCCCCTCCAGCCAAGCGCCTGGTGCTCTTTGTGGCAGACGGCCTAAGAGCTGATAGCCTCTTTAAGCCGGACATCAATGGAACCTCCAGGGCACCTTATATAAGGTACTGACCACAGCTAATCTTCGAATGTCCTGACCAAGAGGATTGGATATGTTAGTCTCACAATTATACACCCTACTGTTTTTGAGAACGTCCTGCTTTTTGAAGTGCACGTATTGTTTTGAAAGAGCTTTTTATACTTCCGTTCAAAAGTTAGCAATCACTTGTCATGTTAATAATTACTGTTGTTTTATTTCATAATAGCTTGTACAGTGTAGATTGATATATTTAAAACTTTACACCATCAATTTTTTATGTTTTTATTAAGTAGATGGTATTAACTGGCATGTATTATGTATTATTTATTTGCCTCAATATTTGATTACCACTATCATTCCAGACCTGGATCTGGATTTTACTTCATACTCGATCTTATACAGCTTTCTTCTTTACTTTAGAATTATATATACCTCTGTTCGTCATTCTGGACATGTAACATTTCATTATGAATACAATGTGCACAATAAAATGTAACAGAAACGTAAAACATGGATAGTATCTTACAGTGACATAGAAAATAGTCATTTAAAAGTATTTAGAAAAATCAAATTTACACAGTTTTCCATATACCCCAGATATGATCGATCAGAGACAAGTTTGGTGTCCAGATTGGAGCTACAAGGCTAACATTGCTAACAAACACTAGAAGTCTGTAGGCACTCAAATCTTTTAGACACGTCTAAAATGCCAGTCCCAGTGTTCAGCTATAGGGTGAAGTTTTCTTCATTTTTATAACTCGTACTGTGTCCTAAACCACATCTACAACTCTCACTCTGCACCACCTTAATAAGAGTTGGATGCAGTTTGAGAGCATTGAGAGGAGTTTGGGAATGATTTTACATTAAAAAAAGTTTCGGTGACTATTGACTTCTAGTGTTTACTAGCAACATTAGCCTTGTAGCTCCAGCACTAAACTAAAGAAGTAAAATTTAGACACCAAACATGTCTTGTTTGATTGACTGCAGCTGGGGCAAATGGAAAATATGTAAATTAGATTCTTCTGTGAACCATTCTTTTAAATGACCACTCAGTGTTACACATTGCTTTGTCATCATTGTTTGTTGCCATTCATTAGGAGTATAATTAAGGAGAGAGGGACGTGGGGGGTTTCGCACACACGAGTGCCTACGGAGTCTCGTCCAGGACATGTGGCTCTAATAGCAGGCTTTTACGAGGATGTTAGTGCTGTGGCCAAAGGTAGTAGTATTATTTTATTGTGTTACATATAAAATCTAACAGAAAATTTATTTTGTTATTTTTACCTTTGCCACCTGTATTTACTCACTGGTCACTGTGTTTCTGTCAGTGTTAGCTACTATCAAGAGCTTTAAAAAGTAATTTTGATTCTAAATTGTGAATCTTATTGTGATTTATTTATGTACAGGGTGGAAGGAGAATCCGGTGGAGTTTGACTCTGTGTTTAATGAAAGCAGGCACACCTGGTGTTGGGGAAGCCCTGATATTCTGCCCATGTTTGCTAAAGGTAAAGCCGTAGTTGTACCACATAATCCTACTATGTCGTCTGCAGTGAAGCGAGCAGCTCTGTCTGACATCACTTTGGTTCTCTGGAACTTCCTGTGTGTTCTAGGAGCCACTGGAGATCATGTGTACACTTACACTTATCCAGCTGCAATGGAAGACTTTGCCTCCACTGATGCCTCCAAACTGGACACCTGGGTCTTTGATGAAGTGAAGGTGCAAGATTTAGTTTCTTTTTGCTGTGCTATTAATATGTAATTACATGTTTAATTACATAGTAATTATGTAATTACATATTGAATTACCCAGATTCATTACTTGTACATTTGATTTACATTCAGTATTGAGAGATTTGTATCTACACTTCTGACTGTTTCCTGCTTGTTTCAATGTTTTAGGGGGCTAAAAATTCTGATAACGAAAATATCGGCTGATGTAGTTTTATATTTATATTATAGATTTTAATTTATGCTCCAGTAGTTTTACTAAAACAGCTTTACTGACTGTTAAACTTAAATAAATCACAGAAACTAAAGGTTAAGAAATTCTTTGCAGTTTTGAAGTCCACGACCTGAACATATTTCTGAGCTGACTCGGCTACATCATTTGAAATAATCTGTACAGAAAAACACTAAAGCTAAAGTTCTGAGAGCTGAGACTGATCACAGTACACTCTGCTAGTGCACAGTTAAACACCTTTCTGTGAACTGTATAAGGACTAGTTTTACAGTAAACTGCATGCATTTCATGGTTAGATGACTATATAATATGTCCTAGTTTATCTGTTTCCAGTAAAGTATTTTAGAATCCCTGAAAGATTGTGCAGAGGCTGTTACTGTTTAATGAAGTTCATTTAAGAGACAAAACTGAGTGAAAATTATGAGTAGATCGCTTAATTAATAATGTAATTTTAGTGAGACCTGCTGCCCATCAGCTTACAGTTTACGTTAATTAGTGTGACCCTCTACAGACAGTAAACACATTCACAGCCTTCAGACTGTATATTTTCACTGATATCAGTTTAGAACATTTACACCATTAAAATCAGCAGCAACATCAGCAACTTACCCAGCTTTGATTTCACTGTAATATATTTCACCAGTAATCATGCTGATCACTTCATACAGAATCAGACATTATTACTGCATTAGACAGTTAAACAGCTACACAGCCTCTCACAGTTAAAGATGAACACCAAGCCAGAGAGAGAGCGACACAGACAGACAGACAGACAGAGAGAGAGAGAGAGAGAGAGAGAGGAAGGGAGAAAGGGAGAAAGGGAGAGAGAGAGAGAGAGAGAGAGAAAGCAAGAGAGAGAGAGAGAAAGGAAGGAAGAGATAGACAGAGGAAGAGAGAAAGGAAGAGAGAGAGAGAGAGAGAGAGGAAGAGAGAAAGCGAGAGAGAGAGGAAGGAAGAGAGAGACAGAAAGAGAGAGGAAAAGAGATGGAGAGAGAGAGAGAGGAAGAGAGAAAGAGAGAGAGAGAGGAAGAGAGAAAGAGAGAGAGAGAGGAAGAGAGAAAGCGAGAGAGAGAGGAAGAGAGAAAGCGAGAGAGAGAGGAAGAGAGAAAGCGAGAGAGAGAGGAAGGAAGAGAGAGAGAGAAAGCGAGAGAGAGAGGAAGGAAGAGAGAGACAGAAAGAGAGAGGAAGAGAGAAAGCAAGAGAGAGAGAGACAGAGGAAGAGAGAGAGAGAGACAGAGAGTAAAAAAAGATCAAAGATTAAAGATCAAAAAAGATCTCTAAATTTCTGGATGCACCTGAAGACGAGTCCCAGAGAAACGCTGCAGTTTAAGGTGCTACAGACCCAAGAACTGAACCCTGAGAAAAGTTCCCTCAGTCAGCTGGTTCTGAGGCTTACTAACCCACTAACAGCTGCTAACACACAGCAGCCTCGCTCCAGCACTGCTTTACAGCCCAGACTAAACATCAATCACGCCATCAGAAACAGTAAGAATGATTATCTGGAACATTGGGGTAAAGAAATTAACACTCAGAGTAAATTAAAATGCTGTCAGGCCCTAAAAACAGAATATGAATTGGAAGAGTATCTCCTGACTGTCAGAGATACAAAGCAGAGACAGATCCTGACCAAGTACAGACTCAGTGACCACAGCCTGGCCATAGAACGGGGCAGGTATAAAAAAGTCCTGGCTGCCCAGAGAGGAGAGGCGGTGTGGTCACACACAGGTGAGGTCAAGACAGAGATGCACTTTCTTCTTCACTGTGAAAAATACAAACAAACAAGGGAAATTTACACAAACAAATTCAATAAATTAATCCCAAATTTTGAAAAATGTACAGAATTGGAGAAATTACGAATATTCCTTGGAGAGGGGCCCACAGCCCCCCTGGCTGCTAAATATGTAACAATATGCCACCATCTGAGAGACAGTGGGTAACAATAATAATAATACTCTAATATTGTGATTATAATAATTATGGTTATTATTTATGTTGGTTCTTTTATCTTATTCTGTTTTCGTTCACCTGTTAACTAAAGTAGCTGACACCGTAATAAAATAGATTTCCAGTGTAATAAACAGAATCATTAGAAAAGAAAGAAGAAACCCGTATACATGGTACCTGTTTAGCTCGGATCGGCTAATGCTAGCTCGGCTAATGCTGCCTCAGTCGAGTCGAGCTGCGAAAGCGGATCTCAGCAGGTTTCGTGTTTGGCCGCTAATAAAAACGCTGTTTTCTTTAGTTCATGTTAAATGAATACAGATGACCGTTTGGTCGCGGTCTGTTTCTCATGTGTGCTGGTTCAGTTCTCCTCTGTCTCATCTCTGTAGTGTTTTTCCTGCCGGAGCTGCTGTTTTTGTGTTTTGGTGACTTTTCTAAATTTAACCGCGCTTCGTTCTTATCAGTTTCTGAGCTGATGCGCTCATAATTCATTTTTACTCTGTAACGTTATGAAAATTAAAGTAGCGAAGTAAAAGTATTTCATTAAAAATTAACTCAAGTAAGAGTAAAAGTACTGTGATTTAATTTTACTCAAAAAAGTACCATTACAGGGAAAACTGTACTCAATTACAGTAATGAGAGTAAATGTAATTTGTTACTTACAACTCTGTGTATATATATATATAATATATATATATATATATATATATATATATATAATGTGTGTGTGTGTGTGTGTGTGTGTGTGTGTGTGTGTTGTATTATATTTTTAATGTATTTATGTATTTCTGCGTGTTATGTGGTTACAATTAACCTCTGGGGTAGATTTTCATATATAGCAGAGATGTTTAGGTAGCTTGTATTAAAAATGTTACTAATCTTGAAGAAATCATTTGAAAATTATTCAGCAAAAAACAAAATGTGTTAATTTGTGCCCCACTCTCCCCTCTGTCAGTTGGACCCTGGTTTCAATGAGCCATGAGTGAGAAACAATTTGTGTGGAACTACACTGTGCTTTTGTTGTCATAGGAGATAATTAATTAAGACTTTTAAGGTTACCATGACTGGTACTGATGGACTACACCATTTTTTTTTGTCTGTCTGTAGACCTGATTAGACTGTCCTATATTTATCAAACTCTGTGAAGTATGAGTGCTGATCTGGGGTCAGTTTGTCCTCTTCCATTACATTATGGTGAAAGCACTGGGTTTGGATGGGAGGAGTTGCTATGAAAAGTTGGTGAATATAGAACAAAAGATACATAAGAGTCAGTATAAATGTTAGATGTTGTCTTTTTTGTCTAGGCCTTCATGAACTCTTCCAGAGGGAATCAAACTCTGCTGTCTAAACTACATGAAGAAAAAAATGTGTTTTTCCTTCATCTACTGGGACTAGACACTAACGGACACGCCCACCGACCCATGTCAAAGTAAACAAAATAAATCCTTTTGATTTTGATTATTCAGACATTATGATGGTAGAAATCAGAGAAGAGAAACAAACATGAGAGTGAGATGTAGCTCACTCTGACTGTAGTGTAACCTCATAATTATTAAAGTACGTTACATGTGAAAGTAGTAGTGGAAAACTGGTGGTGTTTTATTTTCAGAAATGTGGATTGACCACTGTATCGGTCAGTATGAAGGGGACTCTTCGAAGGAACCTAACATCACCATAAGTCTGCTACAAAGCTGCACATATTTTTATGAGATTTTCTTTCTCTTTTACCAGGGAGTATTTAGATAACATTGGCCTGGTTGATGAGGGCGTGGCAGAGATGGTCTCTGTGTTTGAGGAGTTCTATGGTCATGATGGAAAGACTGCATATGTTTTCACTGCTGACCATGGCATGACAAACTGGGGTAAGATCTCTGATCTTGTCATGCATACAGGAAACATGGTTCACGATTAGAAATATAAATTATTGCAGGGTGATATTTTTGGAATAGATCATGTCAGATTAGATTTAATTTAGTATTAAATTTAGCAACCTTGCTGCTGGTCTTTAGTTACATTCAGAGCAAAGAGGTGGAGGTGTGACAACTATTTATAATCGCCCACCCCTAATTCTTCAGTGACATGATATTAAGGTGAGCTATTCGTCAGCTTCTTGTTCAGAGTTTCCTGTTTCATCTTAAATGACGCCTGAGGCCATTTGAGGTGCAACAAGAAATTTACCTAGCTGACTACCGAGACGTCAGCATACTACTATCGACTTTATATGTTTGTTATGAAGAAAAGGACCATAATACTTTAAAAAGACATTGAACTATAACAAAACAATGGCTATCATGGTTGGTATAGTGTAGTGGGTAACACCTCTGCCTTCTACACTGTAGACTGGGGTTCAATCCCCCACCTGGGGCTGCACACTACACAAATAAGAGTCCTTGGGCAAGACTCCTAACACTGCCGTTGCCTACCTGTGTAAAAATGCTCAAATTGTAAGTCGCTCTGGATAAGAGCGTCTGCCAAATGCCATAAATGTAAAATGTATCATGGTTTTTAAACAGAAAATACTCATATTGTGGGTTTCTTTGGTCACTTGCACAGCCATGTTGCCATTTTTTCATTTTTTCTCAGAACACTCCGTTTGGAGTGAGCCTTGGAAAAATCTCTGTTTGGAGGGTCATGAATCCCTAACACTTCAGGACACCCTGCCCTAGGCATGAACACTTAAAACAAAGGGGCAAGGCGTAAGTGGTAGGGGCAAGGGGTGAAATGGGATTGGGCCTAAATCTCTGTCCTTGCAATAATTCAGTTATGATTCTTTTGGAAACTGTTCAGTCAATTTAATTTGGTTATTTGGTACAATTCTGAATTAATACACTCGATACCCAAATGTGACTGGAGGAACTATTTACACAGTAGTGAAACAATACAACAGTATTTTTGCATGTGAAAGTAGCCCAAGAATTGTATTTTAAGCTAAATTGAGTGCATACTTCATTGAATATGATTATATGTCTGATCTCTCTAAATGAATGCTGTTGAGTTGCCATGTTGCCATGATGTACTGGTGCATTTTTACATCATTTTACACCAAATCATTTTTCATACCATACAGTAACAAAGTAGTTCTACATGCCTGCTGATTTATTTTTTTTTAATTTGCAGAATTGCATTTGTTTAATAGCAGCTTCTGCTGTACTGATGCATAGAAATAGAGGAGCTTGTACTCAAATATATTGGCTGTGTGCTTAGGGTCTCATGGAGCTAGCCATCCCTCAGAGACCCTCACTCCTCTGGTGGCATGGGGGGCCGGACTTCAGACAGCACAGAGAGCTTCCACTGCACAGAACTATGATGATAACTACCTGAAAGGTGGGTTTAATAAACATAACCACTCCTGGTCAATACAGCAATGGTTTACAATGTCTTATTTACACAGTTTTGCTTTAGTTCAAACATAGTTGATCAGCCAAGACGTGTTTTTCTTTTTTAGTTTTGCACTGGAGCTAGAGTGTAATGAGACTAACAAGAAATGGAAGCTTTTTGCAAGTATTTATATCCATTGCATCACATACAGTGACAAGCAAGTCTTGAAAACCTAACAACTTAACACTGTGTGAGGCTCATCTCTGATGATAGAAGCATACAGTTTGCACAATGCTAGTGTACATGAACCTCCTTTTCTTAGCTACATTCACCTCGTAGTTCCAGTGCAAAACTAAAGAAGAAAACTTTGGACATCCAACATGTCTTGGTTAATCAACTTCATTTGGGTTAAAATAGGACATTTGGATGAAGCATTGCTTTAACACAGAGTGGCTGTTTTATTCTTATTTCTTATTTTATCCAGTGGTTTGTCAGGAATTTATCCTTACTACACTGGAGAGGACTGACATTAACTTTCTTGGCTTTGATTATCTCAGATTGGGGGCTGGAGACATACAGAAGAGTTGATGTAAACCAGGTGGGCTTTTCTACACTGTTGGAAATAACTCTCTCTATCTCATTTGGCAATGAGGAGATGGTTTTTCTGATGTTTGTATTGTTTCCTTCTGGTTCGAATCAATGCAGGCTGACATAGCACCGCTCATGTCATCTCTCATTGGAGTACCCATCCCTCTCAACTCTGTGGTAAGGCTGATATTCAGATAGGATGCTTGCAAGTTCATGGTCTGGAGTAGCTGAGTGCTTTCTCTTTCTCTCTCTCTTTGTATTTTTCTTGTTCTTTTTTTTCCCTCACTTACCATCTGACAATCTGTTTGGTTTGATTTATAGGGCGTCCTGCCATTACAATACCTCAATAACAGCCAGCACTTCAAAGCTGAAAGCATGTTTGCAAATGCCATTCAAATCCTGGAGCAATTTAAGGTGGGTTCCATAACAGAGCATTAATCGGGCATTCAATTTTGGTCTGACATTAATACAGCTTGAGAATCTTCTGTACAAGCCCACCCTGACCCACCAAGTTTTAAAGCTGAGCCGGCCTCCAGCCCAGCAGACAAGTCCTGAACGACACAATCATGATTTGAGTTTGAAACTGACCCGAACCAGCCCAAGGCTTTCATACATTTCAACAGTTTTACATTTTTAGGCTGAGCAAACGTTCCAGTGTATACTCTTTTCCTGTTTTACTTGGAATTTATTACCTGTAATATATTGAACATAAACATAAAATACAGGGTAAATGCTGGCTAAAATCTCTGGGCTGTGAGAACACAAACATGAAACTTGAACTTGACTTGAGCCTGACACATATTTGAGAATGTCTTCCAAACTTGATCAACCCAACATGTGGGTTCAGACATATTTCAAGCTCTAGACCACCTTTACTTCTAAAGGTTCACTCATCAGATTTATTTCTAGGTATGTTACAATGTTGAAATATGACGTACTGTGTTTTTTTGCACCACAATATAATATATATATAAAAAAAAAGGAAATTCCATTATTGAATTATTTTGCTTTAATATTTTTAAGTCGAATTGCCCAAAAACCTTCTGAAGGTACAAGTCGTTTTCTTACAAGACAAATTGTTTGAAAGCGGTTTGTAGTTTGTAGATTTACTTTAGTTTCCTCTTTTAGGATTAACATGAGTTTTAATAGAACAACAGAAACTATTGCACTATATGCCAGTATGTCTGTTTTTTTGCAGTTGGGAATTTAATAAACTTTTTTTTATCAATACAGGTGAAAATGACACAGAAAAAGGAGACCACCTTATCATTTCTCTTTACTCCATACCAGTGAGTACAGGATTGGCCTTAAAGACTGACATAAACACCAAATTAGACTGCATTCAGTGAGATTATTTTCTTGTCACTCTTCCCTTTATAGAGTTCTCACCGATTCTAAACAGATGGAGTTTGTGCGTCACACAAGAGAACTGATCCAGAAAGGGCAGTTTCAGGATGCTGTGAGTACAGAGCAGAAATGTTAGTCTTACCTTAATCCAACTTACCATTAACAAAGCAGAAAGATCAGCAGTTTTTATATATTTTTATTTGGAATAGGCACTGGGATAAATAGTTAGAAGTATGTGTTGCAAAAAGGGTAAATATACTTTATTAAGTACATGTACTTTGTGTCTTCACTGATTTCAAATTTTATCAGGCCCACTTACCATGTAGGTGCACTTTGTTACCCCAAATGTTCATAAGTGGTCAGGACCCCCGCTGAGCAGGTGTTTTGGGTTATAGACCATTCCCAGCCTTGTAGTAACACTGACATGGTAGTGGCAAATTAGAGAGTGTCTATACTATTCTTTGGCTCAAAGAATAGCGAAGCCAACGTCCTTATAGGAAAATCTGTCCACTTGGTGGCCATCTGGCAACACTCCCTGCAGTTGTTAGTAGAGACCAGGCTCCTGTCTCTTTGAACCTGGCAAGGCCTAGAACCGCCAAACTGAAAGCCACATTAACAAATCACCAGTGAAATAGGTCAAAAATCACATGAATGATTTGTAGCGTAAACGAAATAAATAAAGCTTCCTGTAATCTATATCGGCCGCTCTAACAAATCAGTTAAAACTGCGGTCCCACAGTAAAAAAACTATTGAAAAACAGTTAAGTATTCAAGCATTAGATATTTAGGATATTGTTTCATTATATAATTACATTATGATTTATTTCTTTATTTATTAACCAAAGGCATTAGTTGAGACATTAACAAGCTAAAACTATGCAAAATCATAATTTATAGGGTTTCTTCTATTGGGAGGTGGCTGTCCCAAACCCTAATCTCCAGATAGTTTTTTTTTTCCAATATTGTTTTTTTAAAATATCTTTCTGATTTTCTTTTAGAGTGAAAATTTAGATTTGATGAGGTTAACTTTTAAATAGAAAAACTTTATTTAAAAAATGCTGTTCCATGTTTTCATGTCGCTACCAAAACAGAGTTTTAGTCCAAAGGCAGAGTCTTACTTTAGCTACACCTCTGTATTTTAGAGCAGGAAGTGAGACTGCATCCCTGTCCTTATTAGCCACATCGTGAGCACGAAAATGTGTGCAACATTAAGAACTGTCACTGCTGAAACAAATATTTTCTGCAATTAAGTAAACTTTTGTGTGTTTAAATGAAAAATATTATGATTGGGTGTGTGTACAACTGTTCAAAGCTGTGTTTGCTAGTTATGTGCCGACTAGTGTTGTTGAGTTATGCTCAAAATCACCTAAACTTGTCAATACTGAAACAGTCACTACTCAAACATTTGGTAAAAAAGGTTTTGGTAGTTTTATTTTAATAAAATAAACATAATTACGGTAAAATGTTGTTTAACAATAATAGTTTTAGTCTGAAGTCCAAATCAGTTAAAAGTCACATGTTTTTAACTCTGACTTTGAACCAGTTTAGTAGAATGATCAATATAAGCTGCCATATTGGCTGATGGTAAATTAAACAAAATTATAGGGTCTCCAACAAAATCCATAGTACTTGTCCACGATTCAGTAGTGTTGTCTGAGGCCCTCTGTAGCCTGGAACAGAATCTCTTTAGTATATCACAATATACAGTGTTAGAAATTTGCATGTCAAGTAGTGGCAAAGTGAGATTAAAAAGGGGTACAAAAGATTCAGCTAGATTATAAAAATAAATACTTAAAGGTCTTTGTCACCCTTTTCTTTCAGATTCATCATTGTGAGACTCTAATAGCTCAAGCCATGGAGGGCTTGTCCTACTACCACACCTATGACCGCTTTTTCCTGGGTTCCAGTGTGGTCTTAGGTTTCATCGGGTGGACGTCGTATGTAGTTCTTGTCATACTGAAAACTCACGCTAGCCTCCGCAAGCCGCCTACCAGCAGAGATATGGTGAGAAACAATACAACTAACTTGAATGTAGCTTCACGTACACTTCACCATGCAGAGAATTCCTCTTAGAAATAAGATGAAGTAGTCAGGTGAAGATGAAGTGCACAATCAGCTGTAACTTGTTACACTTAAGAGATTCACTGAGTATTGTTTGTTCATGTTTCTAAAGATATTCTCTTCTTAATCTGTGCTTTTTAAAATGCTACAGGAGACTTTTCATTGCCATTTAATGTATCAGTTCATAAGTACTGAAAGGGCATATCCTTCATTTTTCTTGTATTTTATGTTGTTCCTAGAGGTCCACTTACAACATTTGGGTGGGTTTATGCAGCAAAAACAGTCCTAATTCATTTTGACCTCTGTTCCAATTGGCTGCCCTATGTAATAGTATGTTACGAAAAAAGCAGTCCAGGCTGAAACACTCCATGTAACTTCAAAGTGAATGGGCAGGGCTAAACTGCTGTAGACCGAATAGGAAGGATATATTTAAATTTGCTCATTTTCATGACATCACAAACTCAGTCAATTCAAATGCGGTTTTATTTACATATATGGACGTTATGGATTGGGGAGTAAACAGTGAATTAAGTGAATTAAGGCATGTGCTCTGATATTTTCAGAAGTCTTACCATTAAATGTCTTCAGGTGAGGATTTTTCAGGTTATAAAATGCTAAAATTATATTAAAATTCAAAAGATGCTCTCATTGTTTAACCAGAAGATTATAGAGGGGTTTCTGTGTGAAACTAGTTTTTAATGTATTATTTGTTATGCAGTATTCATTACTATGTTATGCAGTATTCTGCAGTGCAGCATTATGTCTCTCAGCCCTCATTGGTTGGACAGAATTCACAGTTTTTTTTTGTTTTCATATTTTTGTTCATCAGTGTTCTCTCTCTACAATGCCCAGCATGCATTACCAAAACATCATAGAAACATTGGGAACCTCTGTGCTACTGATAGCTACTTATACTGTACTACTGTAGAATAATAAATACAAGGAAGCCAAACTGAGGTATCTAGATTGCCAAGTGGTGCCTTAGCAACTTTTACTTTTAGCGTTATGTTCTCCTCATCTGATGAGTCATTTCTGTCTTTTTCCGTTTGCATTCACTGGTTAATGAAAAAAAATGCATTTCAAAACAACACACCCCCAAAAAATCCACCCCAAAGTGGAATTGTTCAAGCGTTCCTCCCATTTTCAACATGCATCATCAGAAGGGGTGTTTCCCAGACTTTAAACTAGTAAATTTCACTTTGTGGCACTACTGTAGGATGTAAGCAAGCATGTTTACAACAGATATAGCTATGGTTTAATTTTTAATTTTGGCCAGAGTGTCCCTTGAAATACAAAAGTGCACGTTACTGTACACATTTAGCTAATTTCCTCTAAAACATATTCAAATTCAGTCCCTGCAGTGGACCTCTTGAAAGTTTATGGCTGAAGTATTGTTTTTTTAATGTCTTTATTTCATACTTTAGAGACAAGCTGACTTTAAACTGTGCTCTAGTTCAGACTTAAAAAGGTGTGAAGGTTTCACCTGGCATATTATAGTTAACATCCTGAAATGAAGTGTCTGGAAAGTACTGAACCTTCAACGAAGTAAGGTGAAGGTTGCTTAAAGGTGAATGTCCGGCAGTGTTTTCACTTTGGGTCGTTTAAGGGCACATAATGACATATAAAGGGCAAATAATGGAAAGCCAAATTTTCCTTGGTCTGCTGAAACGAGTTTGGTGTAGTATGTAAACAGTGTTAAAGTTTTTAAACGTCCATACAGTCCATAGACAGAAACTAAGCTGCAAAAACCACATGTTTAATTATTAAAGGTAAGGAGAGCTTGGAAAATGGTCATGTACAAATTAATTTTGACTGTTTTGGTACATAAACCAACACAAAGCGGAAAATGAAAATACCATAAAATTCAAGAAAAATGTAGGATATGAGCCCTTTAGTTAAAAGAGGTGGACTGTAGGTACATGATGCACAGAAACGTTGTGAGAGTTGTGATTCGTGTTTCCTGTGTTAAAACAGATGTCAGGGCGAGGTTTGCAAAGGGGGTTTATATGTGTTGGCTTGGTGGTATCCCTCTTCCTGTTGCTTCAGGCCAGTCCCTTCCTTTACTACATCTACTGCCTACTACCTGTACTTGTGTGGTATTCTGTTTTTAAAGAGTGAGTATTATTCATCCATTCCTGCTTCTACACTCTTAATAATGAAGATACCTAATAGGGTTCTTTGGAACCAGGTTGTTACCAGGTTTTTTCCCTTAACCATACATCCAAGAACCAAGAAGCATTTAGGATGTGTATCTGCAGAAAACAGTTGTAGGCATATAGTAAGCTTTTCACCCATCTGTATCAGAACTCGGGTAGGGATAACAGTATTATATCATACTGTTATAAATTACATTACAATATGCTTTTCTGACCATATCGTGGATATCACGAGTACTTCAAGAACCCTGACCAACTGCATTTTTCATCACAAACTGAGCATAATTAGTTAACTGGATTTAGTGTAGCATAGTATGTAGCGTTGAACTAAAACCATTGCACTTATAGTTTTTATTGTCTTATTATGTCAAACCTCAGAAAATTAACAGAATATTGTGTCTTTAGGTATCATGATGCTATATTTTTGCTGTGTCGCCCACCTCCAAGACCATATCTGTTCTATTCTATTAACATGTAAATGTAAATGATTAATCGGATTGTTAAAAACACAGACAATTTACGTGGTTTTAAGGATTCTGTAATTATAACACCCCGCAGTCTGTTTTAATTATCTCCAAGATGGTAACTTTCTGGGAGACGGGAAATCATTAACGCAAGTTAATGCAAAGAGATTTTATTGTAAGTAATTTTGGAGCAGCTGCTGTGCTCAAATGAAAAACAAAATGGAGATATATGTTTTATGAACAGCAACAATATACATTTTAACTGTAATAACTTTTAAAAGGATGTTTTGTTTGTTGGATTTTATGTACCTGTTTCATCTAGTTTGAAAGCACCATAGTGCTGTGTGTCAAAGGACCCAAGGACTGGGCGTTGATAGTGCAGACCGAATCTTAGCACCACAACTGAGAAGCACTTTAGATTCACTTTGCTTTAGTTTAGTTGGGGATTTGAGTATTTCTCTTTTCTCTTTTCACTTTGTTTACCTTTATTTTAATATATTTGTTTATTTTTGGCACTGTGCTCCTGTCCTGGGACTTCGGGGGAAAGAAAGCACCATCATAGACTCCCAGTTTCCTTATCCTGAAACAGTGTTTTCAATCACGTCTCTGCTATGAGGGTGTTGGTGGGGGGTTGTGTGTGTCTAGTGGATTTATTTTTTTTTTCAGTTCTGAGTCTGAAACTCTTCTCTTTCTTTTGCTGTTGTTATATTGTGAGTTATCTTGTTAATAATCTGGTTTTCAGATTTGGCATCCTGGTCAGTCTTATAAGATCAATCCCTTCCCTGCCACTAAGCAAGTGCTTTGGATATTTTCTGCTAGTTATGTTTGGGATAGAACTGCTGGTAAGTGGCACAGAACCAGGTGACTATACTTTATTAGCATGACAGTTAGCACTTTAAAATGCATACATGTACGTGTTTTTAGTACATAGACATCACCTGTACTGTAAATAATTGAATAATTATAAAGTTAATAATTAAATGCAATTTATATTGAATTAAATGTATTTCATCTTCTCCACTGATTTGTAGGTGGTCAGTTTTTTCTATCGGGCCATGCTGACCCTGGGGCTGATAACTTTGGGACTGTGGCCTTTTGTTTCAGGCCTTTATAGGAAAGCAAAGGTAAGATATAAGACTTGTCTTCTCTTACATTTATTGTTCTGGACATTGTGTCTTCCACTGAAAATCTAAAACTTTACTCACGCCTTTCCCATCCCCACCCCAAACCAAACTTTTACCTTGTTCATGTTCCTGGCCATATTAAGCACATATCATCATTTCATAGCATTTAAAAGACAAAATTCTATCAACATGTAACGACTTTGGCCTGCTTCAAAGACGTGTTCGTATTTTTGATCGTCATTGTGCACCTGTGGGAAAGGGGGGAAAAAAATCAACTAATGAAGTCATATTTCACTTCTCACTCCCACCATCCCCACCCATCACTGACAGAAATGATCCCCTTCCTGATACAGTGTTTCACACGGAAACACAGTACTGTGCAAAAGTCAGAGACCACCCTTCATTCATTTCATTTACAGCCAAAACAGTCTTAAAGTACATGCTAAGCATTTTTCAGTGTCAGAAAAACAACTAAATATAACCACATTTTTAGTATTTAGTGTGTCCGTCCTTTGCCTTTATTACAGCTTCCACTCTTTTCAGGAGTCTTGCTTTCGGTTTTTCAAAGAAAACTGCAGCGATATTTTTCCACACCTCCAAGTTCAGTCTTAGAAGTTGGTTGCATTTTTTGCCTCTCACGATCCAAATAATCCCAAACACATTCAGTGATGTTAAGGTTAGTCGTCAATCCATTGCTCTGAAAACATGAGCAGCTTCTTTGTTTGAATTGCAAATTTTCCTGTCTTTGTCTGTTTCTTTGTCTTAGTAACTTCTTCTTGACAGCTGCACATCCTTTCAGACTCAGTGTTGAGTTGTCTTTCCACAGTGGAAGGATGGACAGAAACACCTGTGGATTTTTTCAGATAGGAAAGAGTGGAGCTTGATTTTTTTTTTTCTCTCTCTCAAAGATGAAAGCTTAAAGTTCTGTTTAAGTACAGTTTTGGTGGTCTATCAGATCTTGCATGGTTGTTAGGAGTCCCAGTGTCTCTGTATGTTTTAATGATTTTTTAAAACTCCAGTTGCATCACTCATTTTGTTTGACTTTCCCCTTCATTATGCAAATGGGCTTATGTCTTCATTATGCAAATGGTCTTATATCTACTTTCCCCAGAAATATCCCCTGAAAAATGAATAACTTGTACTTAATGACTGTTTTGACTGGAAATTAAGTACATGAAGAGTGGTCTCTGTTTATTTATGCATAGTACTGTATATTACACAACAGAAGGAAAATGTATTATGATTTCAGATTCATATTAACTTTAACCTTCAGGATTATTATTCAGCTATAACTGGTGATAATGTAGTACAGTATAATCTGGAGAGTTATGCTAGAAAAACACAGTTATGTTTTAATAAAGATGTGCTGTGATATTTGTGTTGTAGTCCAGGTCAGTGAGCTGGGTGTTGAGCTGCCTCTGTCTGGCTGTGTTTCCTTTGTTGCCCGTAGTTGGACGAGAGTCTAACGTCAACTATGTGTAAGTTCCTCTTCTCTCATCATAAACTTCATAATGCACAGACCAGCATTCTTTCTATTTCTGGCATCTGGTCAGAGTGAAATTACACTGATTTTTCAACATTTCATTCAGAAATTAATTGAGTGTTTTGATGTGAAATGGTTAATTATAGCAAAATATATTCACTCAGGTCTCTTTATAGTGGTGATTGGAACCAGACAAATATAGACACAAATTTATTTACTATCCGAAATGACCCATGAAGCTACACATGAGTTTTTAAATGTAATGTTAATAATGAAAGAACAGTGGTGAATGGGAAATAGAGAGTTTTCTTTGGGTAACTCCCTACATGTACCCCTCCACCATGAATGGATGTTCAAACCATTTTAAAATCTTCTTAGGCTACAACAGTGTCTCAGACATAACACAGCATTTCATAATCATTTATGTACAAACCTTCTGTGAGGTAGCTTTTTGAGACACGTCTGTTTTTTCAAACGTCTGGTTCCTATCACCACCACTGTAAACAATTCTGACTCTGTAGGTTTCTCTAGAATAGAGCATTTCATATTAAACCATTCTGAGTGACTTTGTTTATATCTTAATGACTTAATTATCTTGACATTTTAATTGTGTTTTTTTCCCTCATTATATTATCTTTTGTTTATGCTGCTCATATGTTTACAACCTGATATTTTTTTATCTACAGATTGTGCGCTGGAGCTCTAACTCTCTTCATTTCATTCTGCTACTTCTGTTCATCATGTGGACGCGCAGGCCTGCACATGAGAGATCGCCGGCTGTTCATTGGACAGGTCATTTAGTGTTCTGTGCTTTGCATTTTCCTTTCTGCCTCTTCTATCTTGCTCACGTACTGTTATCACAGCTCTATGTAGGCATATATTATATCTTGTTGTAGATATACATGGAAATGTTGCATAATGAAATATATCGGTGATGATGTTGTGGCTGTAGATGCTCCAAGTGCTGCTGTGTGTCTACGTGCTGGCCAGCACCCACTCCAGCCTGCAGATGAAGCAAGGCCTGCCGCTGTTCAATCAGCTCGTCAGCTGGGCCACTCTGGGTTAGATATTTCTCTACTTTTATCTTTTCCTCTTCTCTGTGTTTCCTAGATGTATAGTTTAGTCAAAATGCTAATGCTACATGCAATTCACTGCTGCGTAGAAACTAACATAATACTAATACTAACATAAAACATTTTTTTTAACCGGGACGCATATAAAATTATTAGTGTGTGGTATACTGGACATTTGGGTTTAGGTATGAGAAATGTGAGAATTTTTGAAAAGTTAACATATTTACTATCACCAGTATAACAAGACACAAATCCAGCACTTAACACTTGCTGGGTTTCCTTACATTACCAAAATTGAGCAAAGGGATGGTGGTGCAGTGGGGTTCAATTCACCGGCCGGCCACCCAGGGTCCTCTCTGTGTGGAGTTTGCATGTTGCATGGTGTGAGTGTGTGTGTGTGTGTGTGTGTGTGTGTGTGTGTGTGTGTGTAAGTCTGTGTGTCTGACCTGTGATAGATCTGTCGAAGGTGTTTTCCGCCCAATGAGTGCTGGGACAACCCCAGCACCTCCCTCACAGTTCAAAATAGGGGTCATCAAAGAGGCACCTGAATGAAACACAGGCGTATCCATATAGAAGGCATGAGCAATGGTCAGACCCAGATAAGCAAGAGAACTAGAAACTAAGTAAGCCACTGTCTAGGATATGAAAAATGCAGCTTAGAGCTACAAAACATAAACAAAAGACACCTCAGAGCCTGGCAGCCCAAAGTGAGGGATGTTTGTGTGCGTGAAAGAGTCCATGAACCTAGCTGTAGGAGTAACTGATAATGAAGAGGGCAGAGACATGGAGGTGCTAGAACTGGAGTGGGCCAATCCCAGATGGGAGAGTCCATGTGTTGTCTCTCTAGAGGGTAGACCCCATGGCACCCTGCTTCTATGTCCAATGTACTAGATGTTTGGAATGAGGAGGATATATAGTATTGAGTAATTCGTAGTAGGAACTGCATGATAGGTAATACACCTAGGGGGTTAATACCACCATCTTTTAGTTATTTTAACTTCTTTGGTTTTTTTCTTACAAAATGTGTCTAATTGTCTGCCTCTTCTCTGTTGTTCTCTCTAGTTTCGTCATTTTTTGTGCCACTGCTGTCTTCCACACGACTGTTTCACAGGCTGCTGAGTATCCTCTTGTCACTCATCTGTGTCTACCTTGTACTCAGTACTGGGTAAGATTTTACACACACACACACACACACACACACACACACACACACACACACACACACACACACACATATCGCTGTTGTCAGAAGAAAACCTCATATCTCCAAAACGATAACTTCACAGGAGAAGGAAAAAACCTACTTTACTTTTAATGTAAGTCAATGGAACCAGACTTTTTCCAAGTCATTTTGGGCCGTCCATTCTTCATGGAATTTAGACACAATGTAAAGGACAACAGGCATTTTCAAATTGTGTCAAAAACTGAAAAATGGAAAAACAAAAATGGAGATAAGAGGTTTTGTTCTGACAGCAGCGATCTAATATATATATATATATATATATATATATATATATATATATATATGCCTGTAACAACACCACAGAGACACCAAGTGTTTAATGGAGAAGAACCTGCAGAAACAGCCACATTTTTGCGGTGGTTTCAAAGGCTTGAACTTCTTTTTGCCAAAGAATCCTTTCAAAGGGTGGCGGTTGTGATTCAGATCATTATCATTTCAGCAGTTTCTTTGCAAACTTCTGCAGGTTTACATCCTTTGTTTCTGAGTTCATGATCCTATCTATAAACACAAGCTCAGGACCCCACTGTAAGAGAAAGAGCCCCAGATTTTGCCATTTCCACCTCTGTGCTTTACAGAAACTTTAGCGCACATTGGTTGGAATTCTTCTCCAGGCTTTCTCCATACGAAATGTCTACCATCAGTCTGTTTCTGTGCTAAAAGAGTTTTTCTCTGAAATAACATTTTTTTAAACATTTTATGAAGTAGCCCGAAGGTGTTCATTACGGTTTACCTATAGCTATATGGTTAAAGAATAATTTTTGGGGCCACTGTATATATTTATTTATGGCTGATGTAATGTGGCAGAATTAATGTCAATGGACAAGTTTATCACTTCATACAGTTTGCATGGTCTTTGGCTTAACAAACTCTAAAAGACTCTGCAAGCAAATTTGGCTTGAAACATTAAACAGCTTTTGACCTCTACCACTTCAGCATACGTTTCACACATTTAGTTCTTTGTGCACACTTTCTTGTGTGATTTTCTTGTTTTTTTTGTGGCCGTCAGCTCTACATAGATTTCAGCTGTGCTTTTTGAACCATTGTGGTTGAGCACATAACAGCCTATTTGGAGGAAGTGAAATTGACAGAGACCCTGCATTTACTTTTTAAAGTTGTTGCTTCTACAGTGTGCTGAGAAATGCTTGCTAAACAATGCGAAAACATCAACATGCATTTGTACAATAAACCCAATACTCAGACTCTTCAGATTTTGGGGAAAAAAGTAGATTCATATGGCTTTACAGCAGTATATTGCAGTACAATATGGTGGTACAGTTTTTGGTACGCAAGCAAATGGAGCGCCTAAAAATGTGCTTCATGTTAATGTGTTGATGTTAAAATGATAATGATAAATGATGACATTTACCATTGTTAGAATGGCACATTCAGTCTGGTGCTGTAATCCAACTCATCAACCACAAGCTAATATGTTGCCCACCATATAATACACAAGCCACAAATCAACTCCCTTGGTCATAATAAACACACAATCTTTGGTAATACAACACCCCTATGACCGAACTATTACTCATTTATTTTTCAGGTTATGAGTTTATGAGGTTGTATTGTTAGTTGGGAAATAAGAGAAACATCAAAAATTTACATAAATATGTATGTATGGAGTGAAACTCTAGTCAGAATGTGCTTATTGTGACTGTGGCATGAATAACAGAGGAATGTGTTTCCATCACACATGCTAAAATCATTTTTATAGATGTTAATGGGCGTCTGTATAGATTTTTAAAAACTTGGATAGCTTCTTCATCCAGTTAATGTGCAATAATACATTTACATGTTTTTGTGCCAGCTACCAAGGGTGTAATAATGCACAAATTTCATAATCTAATACAGTGATAAGAAAAAGTTTGAGCGCCCCTGGGCAAATAATGCTTGTAACATTCTTTTTGCATATATTTCGGTAATAGTCAAATTACCAAAACAGGATTCTTTTTTTTTCCCCTCCGGTGTGTGATTCAGCATTTTCTGCTGATATCAGCCTAAAATTAGATGGTTTCAGTTGTAGCACAAGATTTTTTTCTTACTTTTATGGCTATTTCTTTATAACTTTTCAAGTTTGAAACATGAGGTGTTTAAAGGGCCCAGACCATAAAAATAAAATAATATGAAATAAGTAAAAGAATTTGATGTAGTATGTAAAAAAACTTGAAAGTTTCAAAAAATATTGAGAAAAAGTATTGTGAAAACCTGCAGCCACACCGGCTCCTTTGCAGATAAGATTGGACACCCATGTTCTAAATTAAACATGAAGATTTGAAGCTTGTAACATAGCATATATATTGTGCAATTTTATAGTAACACTTTAAATAAACAGCCCACTTTTAACATCTGACTGAAACCTGGCTAGGCTAACACTTTTATTCACAGTTAGTGGCCTTGTTGGGACTTCCAGAAGGTTACAACAACATTTTTTTTCTTGAAATTGGTTGCACTAATGGACTTGTACACAAGGGTGAGGTGTCTGTGGCTGATCTCAGTGATATGTTTGACTAACTGCGAGTTCCAGGATGTCTACATATAGCACAGTCTGACACTGTGATAGTTCACCAACTGCAGCTGTTTTGTGCTCTGTGAAGGTATGAGGCCCTCTTCCCTCCAGTGCTGTCATGGCTGATGTTTGTGTGGATCAATATGGAGCAGGAAGCCGTGGACACACAAAGTGTATCCAGCAGGGCGGAGGTAACACTGAAGCTTGTTTAAGCCTTAAGTTCCTCTAGCTTTTGTTCTGTGTAAAATGTGGTTGGTAAATTCAATGAGCTGTTTGTGTGTGGTGTCTCATTTCCTTTGTAAAGTGAAGAATGTTTGAGTGCATTTTCACTGTTCTCTGTAGGGGCGGGCTGGTGGTTAGAGTGTCCAGTCGCACAGAAATGGTCCAAAATTTGGAGAAGCAGCCCATTTGATACATACAGTTTTTTTAACAACTTTGATTAGTTATAAATTAGTTATGCAGGGGTAAAATGCACTATTCCAATAATTTCCTTTAGCAGATGCTTTTATCCAAGCAGTGGACACTCTTATAAATAAAGACACCAAATTTTTTTGGAGCGCTGCCATAGAACAAGAGCCACCATTCTGATCCAGAAAGAGCTGCTGTGGCTCGATTTTGTCCCACTGTTTTAAAAAAAGTTTAACAAACTTGTATGAATTGTATAAATATATAAAAATATAGAAAAATAAAGTAGAGGTGATAAAGTATTTTATGAGTAAAATCTAAATATCACTGATGTGCAGATCTACTTTTTATTTAAAATTATTATATTTCTTTATATTATATTGTTATATTTTTCAGATTTAGATCATAACTTCACTATAGAAAGTCTATGAAATCATTTGAAATATTTCTAATGTTGTCAGAAACAAATAGGCATCACTTTGTGTTCAACATGAGTTAGCATAGAATAACTGTATAGATAACATGTTTTGTATTGTTATAGTCAAACGAAAGAGAGTTTCTCAACCACTCAAAAAAAAAAGTTCATTTTCAAGTCGCGGGCATTATTGTAAGCTATAAAAGGACAGTTACGTTTACTAGTAAGGGCATCCAGCAGACCACACCGTTATTTATGACCTGCTACTGTGCTCTTCTCTTTTGGTAAACCTCACAAATGAGACTGGTGAGACTAAATGACATCGCATGTTGCTCTTTGTTACAGGAGAATTCCACCAATTTTTCAAAATTTCTGCATAATACAATGGTTGAGATGTAAACAAAGTCATTCAGGTTGGTTTGATGCGAAATGGTTCATTGTAGAGAGACTTACTGGTTCAGATTTCTGTACAATGGTGGTGATAGGAACCAGGGGTCACAATGTTTACAACACAAATATAGTCATTTTTTTTACTGTACAAAATGATCTATGAACCTAAATGCATGAGTTTATGTGTAATGTTGATAATATGGTACCACTATAATAAAATAGTGTTAAATCTGAAAAAAAATAAATCATTTTCTTTTGGGACTGTTTTGCCTCACAACTCCCTGCATGTAACTCTCCACTTTAAATGGCTGTGAAAAATTCAGATTATGTTAGTATGTCTAAAAAGGGGCATTTCACATCAAACCACTTTAACCATTTAATTATGCTGACATTTTGAAAACTTGGAGGACAGACAGACTAACCAGAACAAATTAGGAATGTACAGAGAAACAAGGCTTAGAGACTTTGCGGATATGCGAGGCAGACTGAAGGGTAAATAAAGGAGAGTAAATGAGCAGAGAAGAGAGTAAGGTTTGTCGGTGTGGGTGGAGCCATTGATCGGTAGGCCAATGGGGGTTTTACTTTGGTTTTTTAGATATTCTGTCCCATTTATGTCACATGTTAAAACAGCGGTGTAAATATTCAGTGAAATTTTTCTAAAAAAAAAAAAAAGTTTCATGTAACCATTGTGATGTACATTTTAGACTGTTTATAATAATCCCAGATGTCTTTGCAGCTTTACAGCATTGATTTTGCTGAAAATATCGACTTAACAAGAATCAGACAGTTGAGGCTGGATGATATCCGAAGATCATACTTCTTTGTATCCTTGCATTTGCCTCGATTCTAGGATGATTTTTACTTGTTAAAATTTTAATTCTGACAATTTTCCTTTTCCCCAAATAGTCAAATAGTCAACCAAGACGTGTTTGGTGTCTGAAGTTAGCTTCTTTATTTTTGAGCTGTAGTCTGCAGTTATGTAGCTAATGTAGTTAACAAACAAAGGAAGCTTATACTCACCCACCAAAGTGTCAACTATATACCTAAATCTTTACACAAATGGGCCCCACATCAGGGAGAACTACATTTCCCTCCCTTTTTAGTATATAAAGTATTTAAAAGTAATGTTATCACTGTCAAAATTTCAAAACATACCATTCACTGCCCAGTCCATGTGTTTCGGATACGGAAACGAAGCTGCAAAAACAACCCGTTATGGATTCAATGTTTTCGTGAAGTCACAAGAACCAACTCATTTACATACATCTACCTATTCAGCCTACAGCAGTTTAGCACCGCCCACTCATACTGAAGTTCTAAGGTGCATTTCAGCTCCGAGTGCTTTTTGAATGAGTCTCAGCACAGGGCAGCCAATCAGAACAGAGCTCAATTATACATATTAGTCTTAAAGGCACATTAACAAAATAGCCTGTTTAATAAGGGATAAAGATAGGTTGGAAAATAATGTATAAAAATTAATTATGACTGTTTTTGGTACATAATACCACACAAATGTTATAAGCTGACCTCAAAGAAAAAAGCAAGTAATTCCAAATAGACCTGCTTATGTGGTTTCTGACATTGTATGACAAATAATGGCCAAAGTGCAAACAAAATTAAGCATTCCTAATTGCAGCTACTACTGTTTTCAGGTATTTATAGATGGTAGAATGACAAAAAAACACATTACTACAGGTATTTTTGAGGTTACTTAAGACCTTTTTTACAGTTTGAGGTCTGTGATGATTTAGTTATGTTGTCAGCACAATAATGGGTGAATATTAGCCAACATTACTCGTTAGCTACATTAGACTTTTAGCTCCTGTGCAAAATTAAAGAAGCAAACGTCAGACACCAAATGTGTCTTGCCTGATCAACTACATTTGGGGTAAGAAGGGTTTTTGTGAATTAGATTTATGTCTGATCCATCACTTTAAGGCCTTTTGTTATATATCTTAACAGTCTATACAGGTGTTCTTCATCATAATTGCTTTCTTTGGCACTGGAAACATTGCCTCCATCAACAGGTAAACTCTTCCGTTCATACTAGTCTGCTTGATGCTGTTCTGTCAAAGCCTAAATGAGTGGCACATTTCTCCTGGAGAACACACCTCTTTCACAAAGGGTTTAAAGAACGTGATGCACTGAATTAGATGTGCTTGAGCAGGGGAACCATCAAAAGGTCTCCCTACTTTATAAAAACTTAGAGACGTAGTGATCATTAAATTTATCTCTGCCTTCAATTTCTTTGCAGCCAAATTGACCAATGGCTGATTTTTTAGTTTTTATTTACCGTTTTCAAAACCTGAAGCTCACACTGTGTGGACAAATGAATACATAAAACATGTTACCACATGTCCAGTACTTTGCTCTAAACCAAAGTTGTAGCGTATTAGTGTGGCAAAGCAAAATTGGCAAAGTGGCGTTTTTAATTCTTAAACGAAAAATCAGCTGCCTGTTTAAATAACATGAAATCATGTAAAGTGCTAAACCGAAAGAGGGTACTGGCTGTTTAGCACAATGAGGCGTGTATAATTATACTGTGCCATTTCGATACACAGTACTATGCAAATCGTTTAGATTTTAGCACCTGAGAAAATGTAAATAAAGCTGTTTATTCAGTCAGTAAGGATTTATATGCTCAGAAAAACACTAACATTAGAAAAAAATACAATGATGTTAAAGCAGTTAGTGATTTTATGTATGTCTGTGTGTTTGTTTCACCATTCCCAAACTTCTCCTCAAAGAAGCCCAGTATTATTTGTAGTTATTATCAAACTCCTGGTTTGGCTAATCGGTGCTTTACTATGTTAAATCATAGTTAAATTGAACAAATCCGTGTGATGGCTGGGGGCTTTGAAACCAAACTTTGTTTTTCAAAACTACCTCACAAGATATCTTTTTTTTTTCTCCTCAAAATGAGACATTCTTGACAGTTTTCACTGTATTTTTGTTTATATGCATTTATTCTAATAATAAATGGTGTTTTAGAAGTAATCATTGCTGAGATAAAGTGTGTCTAAGTGCCTAAGACTTTGTTTATGCCTAAGACTATTTACACCTACTTGTTTTATGTGACTTCTAGTGTGTAACCTGGTAAAAATTTAACCACGTTTCCAATGCATCTCCAGTTAGTCAGATTGAAATCGGATTGCTATGTGGCACGTAATATGCAAGTCAGCTCATATACAAGAACCAATCACCGGTACTGTTTCTCATTTTTCGTATGTTCAAAAAACATCAGTTGCTGCATTAGAAATCGCACAGATGTTTACAAGAAGACAACTGTTTAGAATAATTAGCCTCCTGTGTAAGTCATCGCATGTGTCCAAAAAGTAATTAATTGTAGCCAGACCATGAATAACGACAAGGTGAAGTAAAGATTAACCAAACTGGTGCTTTATTTTAACTAGCTTGGGTTGACAGAAGCTTCTGAATTAAACTCCGAGAGGAATTTCTCTAAAGCAAGTCAAGTGGGCATTTTTCCCCATATGCAGAACAGCATAGTACTGGGAGGAGTTTTGGTCCGCCAAAGTGGATGTGTTGATGTATAACATCTGGCCAAAAGGAGTCTCAGACCGTCTGTAATGCAGTGCTTGCCATACATATTGGCACCCCTGGTAAACATGAGCAAAAGGACCTGTAAAAAACAACTTCATTGCTTGTCCTTTCGATCTTCCATTTATTTTGATCTTTCATTCAAAAAATTACTAGAACCTTCAGTAGAACTGTATTCTATGGTCAGATGAGAACAAAAGAGCGTTCTGGCAACAAACACCACAAGTGGGGTTAGTGTAGACACAAATATAGGCATGCAGAAAAATACCTTGTCTCTGCTGTGATGTTGCACGACTGTCACGACCATGTTGAGATACATGCTATCATAGACTCCAAGTTCCAGCAGATTATTAAATCAAAACCTGCTTCAGCCAGAAATCGTAAACTGGGCTGTGGTTGGATCTTCCAGCAGGACAATGATACAAAGAACACCTCAGAATTATGGTATACTGACCACAGAATTAAGGTTTTGCAATGGTAATACCCCAGTGACCTTAACCCGTAGAAAACCTGTGGGACGAGCTGAAGAGGAGTATCCACAAGCGTGGACTATGGAGAGGTTCTGTATGGAGGAATGGTCTCAGATCCTTGGCCATGTGTTCTCCAGTCTCATTAAGCTGTATAGGAGAGACTCAGAGCTGTTCTCTTTGCAAAGGGAGGCTGCACAAAGTATTAAATGAGAGTTCCAACAATTATCGCACACAAAGATTTGAGAAAAATATTTATTTCATGATAACGTTTTAGATTCTTTTCTTTCAATCATTATGCTTCAACTAAATGCTAGATGTTTGTTAATATTTTGAATGAAAGATTAAAAGGATAAGCAATGAAGAATGTTTTTACAGCCCATTTTTATCATGTTTACCAGAGGTGTCAATATTTGTGAAGAGCACTGTAATCCATCTCTGTTAGTGTGTGCTAGCCGGTTCGAGTCGGGTTTGGATCATGTGTCAGGTTTTGAGCTTCAATTTCACACCAATGCAGACTTCCCTATAGGAAAAGCAGCAGCAGCAAAAAAAATCTGCCTTGAAAATACAGTTAAAATGAATTATATTCTGTGGAAAATAAAAATGTCACATTTTACATTGTGGTCTCTCTTTCACAGCTTTGACCCGGCTTCCGTCTACTGCTTTCTGACGGTCTTTAACCCGTTTATCATGGGTGGCCTATTGATGTGGAAGGTACTACCATTACATTTGTACTCACACATGCACAAATCTTCAAATGTAACATAAATAAATAAGTGAATACAGTGCCAAGTCTCTACAGGAAGTTTGTGTAATGGGGACATTAGTGGGTCTGACTGGAAAAGTTGCTCTCATTTGGGTGGTTGGTTAAAGCTAGTGGTTTACCCTGTTTGGTGGCAGAGAGCATAAAGTACTGCTTCTAACCCAAATAAATAGTTTGTTTTCTGATTTCAAATATGGGTGTGTTTTATCATTATTGCAGTGATGTCTACAGTCCCTGTGTTTCCTCTTTGTCTCTTTTTCTCATTGCCTTTTTTTCAGGTTCTGATTCCCTTCATAATTGTGATGTGCGCATTTGAAAGTGTACAAGTGTCAACAAGGCTTTCCTCGCGAAGGTACCTTGTTTACAGTGTGATATCACACACGGTTTTGGTTGTTCTTTCCAGATTGTTAGTAAGAAGAACTCATCCTGAAGAGTCACTGTAGGCAGGCTTCTGTTGCAGCCTGTACACAAATACTTCCTCTATAACTGAAGAAGGGCTCATCGAGCATCTGTCCCGTAGAATCCAGTGTATCTGAAAGGGTCTAGAGGAAGTGGTAGACTCCAAATTAGAAGAATGTGGAGCAAAACATATTTAGGGTGGTTTTGATTAAAGGGCCCATATGCTACATTTATCTTGTACTTTATTTTTTTTCTCCTGGGGTCCACTTAGAACATTTGTTGATGTATCAGAAACAGTCGCAATTCATTTTTTCATGACCATATTCATATTCAAACTCCTCTTTATCTGTTCAATTTAAAGCTGTTTTTGTTACTGTGCCTTTAAGACTGTCATGTGTAAATCTCAGTTCTGTTTTGTGCTTTGTTCGAAAAGCAGTCCGAGCTGAAACTTCTGTGTTACTTCAGTGTGAATGGGTGGGTCTGAACTGCTGCCCAGCCTGAATAGGCTGATGTATAAATAAGCCAAGTTAAAAACACCGTTCCCTCCCCGGTTCACACAGTCTATATGTTGAAACAAAGTTGCAAAAATAGCTTAGATTCAATATACGGACCGTATGGACTGAAGATCAGAAGTATGTTTCGAAATTTGGCCTGTTTTGAATACACGGTTTTGTTTGCAGTGTCTGCTTACTGTATCAAACTATGTCAAAGAAGTGAGGAAAATCTGGCTTTTCCTTTATATGAGCCCTTTAAAGCAATAAGACTCGAGTGTGATTTTACCACGGTTAAAATGACATGAAGCAGCCTTGAGTGGCTTATTGCTTTTACAAAACAGCAGCAAATTGCAATATGATGAAATCTCCCATGTTCAATATGTAGTTTAATAAATTTTTACAAGTTTCTACAAGGCTTAGGTTTTAGAACTATGTACTACTACATATAGTTTTCAAATTATATGATGTATCATTTCATTCCTTTCCAGCCTTTTCCTCATCGTGCTGGTCATCTCTGACTTGATGGCACTGGTAAGATCAGCAGGGAATTAAGAATTAAGTTACGGCACCTGTTCTTACAATCAAATGTGGTTAATTCTGCTTTTCCCTGTTTTCCAGCACTTCTTTTTCTTGGTAAAAGACTATGGAAGCTGGCTTGACATTGGTACTAGGTATGTGGCATGCATTTCCACATTTTCCTCTTGAGAGGTGCATTAGTTGATTTATTTCTTGTATTTTTAGTACAAATAAGCTGGAAAACATGTAGAGCATAACATATAGATGTTTTAGCAATGGCATCAGCACAAGTGTATTGTGTGCCTGAGAAACTGTGTCTGGGAAAACTGTAGGGCAGAGTGGAGGGCTTGTTTGTGTACATTGATATCCTGTCAGTCATTTTATAAGACCCTCCCCTACACCACATTACTCTTCCCCCATCTCCTTCTGCTCAGCTAAGAAAATGTGGCGGAATCTAATTACCGACTTGCACCACCAGTTTCTAGTACTGTTGGGGGAAAAATGGTCTTAGTAGATAAATTAAGGTAATACCATGTATACAACTTGGTAGATAAAGATCACTCAAAGAGCGGGCTTTGGATAAACCACCTTCATAGAGATTTTTGTAATACTAGTCAATTGTATCAAACTCCTGTTTGATACCGTTGCAGGTAACAAAGCTAACTAGACAAAGCTAAAGTCGGCTTGTATTCCATCTTAAATGCTGCTGTGGAGGCTACATTACAGCTCAATACAAAGAGTAGCAGGGCACTCTTGACTGTTCTGGAGCAGCAAATCGGTATGAACTAAATGCCAAGTGTTGTAACTTCGCAGCTCCACCCCAACCCCCCTGGACAAAAGAGACATGGGAGCTTGTTGCTTACTCAGGCCAAACACCACTGCTATACAAAGAGAGTATTTGGATAGCATGATAAGACAAACAGTCTGTCTGAATAAGTGAAAGGTAATGGTTTGTGATCATAATTTACTAAGTAGAATAAATCAGAGAGAGCAGTATTAGCACTTTCTTCCGCTTCCTGAAAGCAAGTAAACCACCCTGAGATAAACTGGCTGATGACATGTTATTCACTGATTGTAAAACCTTGTAAAATAGTTGTTTTAGCTTTACAAAGGCTATATTGAGTATTTTGATCTTCTTTCAAGCAATAATGCCATCCTTTTATCATCAATATCTAAATAAAGAAGAAAGACAATGCACTTATTAAACAGCCTACCTCACTGCTAGAAAGTCGAGTCATGACAATGCTGGCAAACTCTAAATGAACTTCACCAGCAACCGTTGATTCTATGTTTTGATGGGCAGGAATGGAAGACAGATTACAAAGAGCTTAAAAAATCATCCCAGCCTTGTTGTAATTTGTCTATTTTTGCATATCTTTAATTTTGACTCATGGACCTTTAATTTATGTCAGTATTTTTGACAGTATTTTTTATCTGACTTTTTTTTTCCTTGCATTTTTTCCCCAGCATTAGTCACTACGTCATTGTCATGTCCATGACCATCTTCCTGATGCTCCTGAGTGTCATGACACACATCTTGACCTCCAAGCGGATCCTGATTGGACAGAAAATGAAGATGCACTTTAAGTGAGGGACAGCGGTTGTGCATGGTTGAAACAGCACATGATGGCAGTTACTTAACATTATGAAACAGGAACCAAAAAACAGTAACTTGACAGTCCTGTTGGCTGTGCTTGATTCTTGATTTGCATTGTTCTAACAGTTTTCACATGGATGAAAATCTAAACGTGAAAGTAAATAAACAGTTACAGTGTTAAGGAAATAAGGTAAAATCAACAGCTAGGATATTCGCATACATCAAGAATAGCACTATTATACTGGGTGCAATATTACAGACAGTGCTAGGTGTGTGTTTGTATGCTATGCAAATCTACAATCTGTAGACACACAGATCTGTAGACACTCACCAAATATGGAAGCGTTTATATATTGTAAATTTGGTACTTATGTATGTTAATGGGCCCATATCCTATATATTTTTTGGATTTTTTTTTTTCTCCTGAGGTCCACTTAAGTACATTTTTATTTACCAAATTCATTTTTACAAGACTGTTTTCCTCTATTTTATCCTTTGGAATTCAACAGGCAGCAGGCTGTTTTTGTTACTGTGCCTCTGAGACTGATATATTTTAATGAGCTCTGTTCTGATTGGCTGTGTTGTATTATGCCACATTCAGAAAGTACTCGGAGCTGAAACGCTCCTTATAACTTTGGTGTAAATGGGCCGAGTTAAACTGCTGTGGGCTGAATTGGTGGATATATGTAGAAGAGTTGATTCTTGTGACATTGAAGAGACGATCGAAAACAGGCTGTTTTTGCTGTTTAGTTCTCATATATCTACTGTGTGGAATGTATTGTGAATGATACATTTTGAAACATTGTTTACATATTACTCCAAACTACTGATTTTTTTCATGATATGGGCCCTTTAACTCTCACAGTAGTGGGATTATTTGCAGCATTGGGATTAACTTTAAAGGCCCATGTCTATTGACAGCACTATAAGTGATGCAATAACAAGTCTGGGTGCATTGTACATGTCATCACTATGTCAGAGACCAACAGAGAGAGTTAATTTTTCACTTCTGTTATAGCTGAGAAGTATATTTAAGAGGAATCCTTTATATCATCTGAACATTGCTCTAAACCAGCAAACCAGCCTTTTGTGTCAGCTGTACCCCTTCAGCCTAATTTGTCTTAAGTAACCTTTGTGATTTTAGCATTAAACATTACATAAAGCATTTTTAATTAAAAGGTTTTGTGGCATAATTTCCTAATGTTTTTTTTAAGAAAGCTGGCTTCATATTTTAATTAGAAAACTACATCGAACATATCATACACTTTAAGGGGGATTTTACTGATCTTTAAAGGTGTAAACAGAGTGATTAACAGTGGTTTGATGTGAAATACTCCGTTCTAGAGAATTTTTTTTTTTTTACAATGGTGGTGATGGGAACCAGACGTCTGAAGAGTGTAAAGTCTCCCTCACAGAGACATGAAATGGTTATAAATGTTTCCTGATACTTCAGACATTGTTTTATGACAGTTTTGAGAAGGTTTTGGTCTAAAGCTTAAACCAATTCATGGTGGAGAGATACATGCAGGGCGTTGTAAGGCAAAATAGTTCCCAAAGAAAACATATTTCTTCAGGTTTACTGGTAAATTAACACTATGACCCTGTTTAAAGTAACGCTTCACTGAACAATTGAATTTACATATCTCACATCCAGTGAGTCAGCCAACACATTTGGTGTCTGAGCTTTGCTTTTTTATTTATTTATTTGTTTTGGGTTTTTTTTGAAGCAGTGGAGCTTCTACGAGGCTAAAAGAACAGAAGAATCTGTTTCATCAAAAAAAGATTTTGCATGATTTAAACTTCTATTACATTTCGGCAACTTTAGCCTCGTAGCAACAGAGCAAAACTAAGGACGTAAACGTGTCTTGGCTGACTGACCAAGGGGGATTGGGGTCAGAGAGAAAAGTGAGTCATTTTCTCAACACACTTCAACCAATGACTGCATTTGTAAATTTGTCTTGTATGTGAACTTGCATAGGGTGCACTGGTGTGTGGGTGATTTTGCAGTGCTGTGGCTTCTGAAGAAATTTTGGTCATGTTTACAGTGGGGTCCAAAAGTCTGAGACCACAAGTGAAAATACTTCTATTTTGCATTCCTTTCTAATCCAGTTCAATCCAGTGCAGTATTTTTTTTATTACAAATGATATTATCAGCGCAGCAATTTGAGCATCTTTGAAATTTGAACATGAATGTAGTCTCCCCCTATTTGGACCCCACTGTGTCTCATTCAGATTGGTCTTTTTTGTAAGTACCTCATGTATATTGTGTGTTTATCTGTAGACAAAAGGATTGACGATCAATAAAAAAAAAAGTTTGATCTTTGAGATAAGTTATTTCTCACGGAGCACAATAGCAGTTATCACTAGCAGGACACTGTGAAATGCTTTTGTGTATGCTTAATTTGAATTCCATTAATATCTCAGGCCCCACCACATCCTTCCTCTCAGTGTGACTGCTCTTGGGGGCAAACATGCTAATGTACAGCATTTTTGCATTTTGAGCATGGCTCAAACAAAGATGACAAAATATGAACACCAACAACAATGTATGAAGCCATTGTATGAACAGGTACACTGCTGAAATGTGGTATATGGAAGTGTTGCTTCCACATTATGGAATCCAATTATACATCATATTTCGTCCTCTCGCTGGATACAAGAAGATTCACCATTCCCCAAAACGGAATCAAATTTATTGAAATTTCGTTACATAACATTACGTGCACATTAGGACACACAATATTATGATGAAGTATAGTTGTTAATGTAAGCAAGTCATGTAAATAAACAAAACAAATCAACAAAAAAGGTGAGAGATAAAAACAGTAAGGTTGAGTAAAAAAAACAGAAAGACACCAGAAGTGAGAAGTATGTGACAGATGTCCTATTAAAGGAAGCACTTCAGGACTTAGTGTTACACACAGCCTACAGCGTGAATGACGAAGCAGCTAGTGCTGCAAGATCCTCCCTGCCTCACTAGTGCTGCTCATATCCAAGTCAACAGAGCACTGAGGCCATCATAAAGTTGTACTTCCTCTAGTGCTCTCTTTACACTCCAGCTTCTGCTTCACTCAGACGGTATGTGCACTTTCATTTTTGAAGTTGTATTGTAGTTTTTGTAGTTAACCCCTTAAAATCCCAGGCTGTTGACATACTAAGGCTTATTATTCAGTAACAACAGGAACTTTAGTGCAAACTGTAGAGATATTTTTAGGTTATAGAAGTGTATAATACATTTTGGATCCGCCAGCAGGCCCTGGCCATTTAAGGGGTTAACAATTGTATTCATTTAGTAATGAATGTAATTAGTGTAATGAATTTTGCTGATATGGTTATTTTAAAACTAGCAACTGGCCGTTGTAGTTTTTTTGTGGTTTTTTTTTTTTGAGTGAACAAAACACAGTAACCACACTATGCAGTTTGCTTATGAAAACTTCTCACGTAACTAAGAAGTCTTGCAAGAAAAAAACTACAGAAAAAAAAGTTGTCATTCGGTTAATGCTGTGTGTGTGTGTGTGGTGTGTGTAATGATCTAGAAATGTCTCTTACGCAGACCATACAAGACTACTAACATTACTGTGCAAAAGAACACCCTTCATTTTTTTAATTCCAGTCCATAAATTACCAATAGGTACAGGTTATTCATTGTTCAGTGTCACAAAAAAGCCTCATCAACTAAATTTAATATCGAATTATTCCGTATTTAGTGTCGACTCTTTCTGTTTTTTCCAGCTTTCGTTCCTCTAGTGGGACCCCTAATTTATCAAAGAAATCTGCAGGGATTTTTTTCCACACCTCTAAAGTCCAGTTTTAGAAGTTGGTTGCATTTTCTGCTTCTCAGTATCTAAGTAATTCCAAACGTATTTTGTGATGTTGATGTCCGGCCTCTGGGGTTGCCAGTCCATTTTTCTGAGAACAGCATCCTTTAAGACTCATAGTATTGAGCTGTCTTCTTACAGTGGAAGCACAGACAGAAACGCCTGTGGATTTTAAGCTTTAAGTTCTGTTTATCTGATGGGGACAGGTTTGGTGGTCTACCCGGCGTTGCACAGTTGTTACGAGTCAAATGTATTACATGTGTTTTAAAAATTTTATTAGTTAATATCCTCCAAAATATTTCCTGAAAAATGAATAACTTGTGTTTAATAGCAATTATGACTAGAATTGAAATAAATGAAGGGTGCATTCTGACTTTTGTATTGTACTGTAAATGTATGGTAAAGCGTTTGATAAGGGCTGTCACAATTCCTTATTAAAGCTAAAAATATATGTATAGATTACAATACTTTATCATTGGATTGGCAGTGAGTTAGTTTGGCCAATTTACATCATGCCACTGAATATTTTACGCATGAAATTGTTCCGCTCGTATCTAGGGCAGTGAACAGAGCCCGACTGACGCTTAAAAGGCAATTTTACTAATTTCTCAAAATCTCTGTGTAATTCAGTGACTGAGATGTAATAAAAAAAAAAAACATTTATAGTGGTTTGATGTAAAATGAGTCATCGTAGAGAAACGTAGCAACATTTCTTTACAGTGGTGGTGATAGGAACCAGAGATCTACAACACCATTCAAAAATGACCAGTGAACTTACACACGTCTCCTGAGGTTTTATATATGTTGATAATGATGAAATAGTGGTAGATCTGTAAAGGATTTTTTTTTCTATTTTGCCTAACATCATCCTCTATGTATTCAGGCGTCCATGAATGCATTTAAAAAATACATTTTAGACCAAATGTTTTTCTCAAACCCATCATAAAACAATGTCACAGGCTTCAGGCAACATATTCATAACCATTTTGTGTAATAACTGTCTGTGATGGAGCTTTTAGAGGCCTTAAAGCATTCAGAAACCTTTTTTTAATCACCTCCACCATGAATAATTCTGAATCTGTACGTTTCTCTAGAACAGAGCATTTCACATCAAACCACTCTGAATGACTTTGTTTACCTCTTAATCATGAAATTATGAAGACGTGAAGAACAATTTTGAGAAATCAGTGGAATTCTCCTTCAGTAAAGTATGAAGCATTTAAAAAAGACTTAAACGCTGATGATCTTGCGGCTGACAGCCAGGAATGGCCAGCAGGTTTCTCACCTAACTGTGCGTCTGTTTTAATTATGTTAAATGCTTCTTATTTTATCTCAAGTAAAGTATTCTGCAATCTTCGAAAGGCTTCACTCTTCGAAAAGATGGTTCTTCAAGGGTTCTTTAGTAAAGAAAATGGTTCTATATAGAACCATGAACATGCAAAGAACCCTTTGCATGATAAAAGGGTTTTTCGCATTATGAAAATGTTCTTCAGATTGATGAAGAATGTGTTATATATGCTTCTACATAGAACCTTTTTGAAAAGGTTCTATATAGCACCAAACAGGGTTCTTCTACTGTAACAAACTTGATATTGTACACTCTTAAAAAAGATGGTGCTTCAAGGGTTCTTTAGTAAAGGAAATGGTTCTATATAGAATCATGAACACTCAAAGAACCCTTTACATGATTAAAGAGTCCTTTGCATTTTGAAAGCGTTTTTCAGATTGATGGAGAATGTGCTGTAGATGGTTCTATACAGAACCTTTTTGAAAATATATATGGTGTCAAGCGTGTAACAGTAGAAGAACCCTTTGGGTGCTATATAGAACCCTTTTCAAAAAGGTCTATATAGAACCATCTATAGCATATTCTTCATTTTTCATCAATCTGAAGAACCATTTCATCACCATTTGCATGATTAATCAATCATGCAAACGGTTCTTTGAGTGTTCATGCTTTTACACAGAACTCTGTTCTTTACTAAAGAACCCTTGAAGCACCATCTTTTTAAAGAGTGTAACAATAGCCAAACCCTTTTCAAAAAAGTTCTATATAGAACAATATACAACACATTTTCCATCAATCTGAAGAACGCTTTCATGATGCAAAGAACCATTTAATCATGCAAAGGGTTTTTAAGTGTTCATGGTTCTAAATAGAACGATTTTCTTTACAAGAGAACCCTTAAGGCACTATCTCTTTTAAGAGTGTAACAATAGAAGAATGCTTTTTGGTGCTATCTAGAACCTTTTTCAAAAAGGTTCTATATAGAACCATCTACACTATATTCTACATCAATATTAAGAATCCTTTCGTGATGCAAAGAACCATTTAATCATGCAAAGGGTTCTTTGAGTGTTCATGTTTCTAGATAGAACCATTTTCTTTACTAATGAACCCTTAAAGAACTATCTTTTTTAAGAATGTTTGCATGGTTTGTTGTTGAGTTAAGTTCATATTTTGTGGGCCCCTCCATGGAACAGCCGGTTAAGCGTTGGCCCTGTCAGCATGAGATTTCGAGTTTGACAGCCATCGGTGACCAGGAGTTCAAGAGAGCATAACTGGCCTAAATAACTTTAAAAAGCCAATTTTTATTGATTTCTGAAAATTGATTTCTGAAATAATTGGTAGATTACAAAAATAACCGATCAGGGTAAGTCATTTATATTCTCTCTGCCACTTATGGTTTCAACTATATAGAGGCAGGAAAACTACCTTGGGCTGTTTCACACTGATGTGACAGTGCTTATTTCCTCTCCACAGAAACCATGAACATGACCACCATCAACTATTCCACCTTCACAGCCTACACAGAGAACTCTTCCCTCACTGACCTCACAGCCTACACAAAGAACCCTTCCCTCGCTGACTCGCCCCACAGAATCGCCCTTATCAGCATCTACACGGTGGTGCTCCTGGTGGGCAGCGTGGGCCTAATTGTCATGGTGAACATGCTGAAAACCAACCTACGCTCGTGGACCACCATCGCGTTTCTGAACTTGCTTTTGGCCCATTTCATATTCATGCTCACCATCCCTTTCCGCATCCACTACTCTGTGACCAACAAATGGACATTGTCCCAACCCTTCTGTAAAATGGTCAGCGCCATGATCCACCTACACATGTATCTGGTCTTCGTCATCTACACGGTCATCCTCACCATTCGTTTCCTGCAGTACTTCAAGAAAATAGATCGAACAGAGTTCTACCGGAGGCTTCATGCCTTGGCAGCTAGCGTTGGTATATGGTCTATTCTAATCATCATTGGCCCGATCATCTTAAGTCAGTATGGTTCCAATGGCAATAAAGACAAATGTTTCAATTTTGGAGGGGCCATAAAAGGTGCGGCATTGGCCTTGAACATTGTTTTGTCGGTTCTCATCCTCCTTGTGTCGTGCATGCTGAGCTGTGCACTTGGAGTCATTCTGTATTCCATTATCAAGATGCATGGGGCAGCTTGCCGGGACCAGCAGGAGTTCTGGGCCCAGATGAAGAGTGTCAGCCTCATCCTCATCATCTTCACCTGCCTGGTGCCGTACCACCTGTTCCGGTTGTACTATCTGCACAACCCCACAGTGATGCAAGAAGATAATGAAGTGTTTCTGGCTATCACCACTCTTACCTGCTTTGACATGTTGCTCACTTTCGCAGGGAAGGGAATATGTTACATGTGTAAATGTTGACCTCAGGAAATACCCTTTTGAGCTTATTGCCCAACTACTGCAGAGAAAAGAATGCAACAGTCATGGCAGTCATGGTTTACTGAGGGGAGATGGTGAACAAACTGCTTGAACAACCAAAGCTTTAGAGATCTGCTCTGTTCATCGTGGTCTTCCCTTACAGATCTTCTCCGGAGACAAGAAAAACATTTGACGCTAAGGGACATTTTTCTCAAACACTGTTCAGAAGGACAAGACCAAAAAGGTCACACCTAAAACTGCTGATGTGGCCCAGTAATGCAACAACTATGTGGATGAGCCGTCAGTAGACTAGTGTTCATTTCTTGCTAGCAACGAGTGCATATTGTGATTAAATGTTCCTTTAGGTTAAAACATGGAGGAGATTTCAAAAGAGGCATCAAAAAAGCTTGATATAAGCTTCATGACCTTTGATAAGGGCTCATATCCTTCTTTTTTTCTTGAATTTTATTTTTCACCCGAAGCTCCACTTATGACATTTGTGTGCATTTATGCCAAAAAACAGTCCTAGGCCATTTTTACATGACCACTTTTTCTTTTACATAACCTCTCTTCATCATTTAAAACGAAAGAATCAAAGCCTTTAAATAGGCTATTGGTTTTTTTTCTATCTTTAACACAGAAATATGTAAATTACCTCTGTTATGATTGGCTGCCCTCTATTGCACCTTGTTCAAAAAGCAGAAAAGGCTGAAACATTCCTTATAACTTTAATAAGAGGTGGGCTAAACTACTGTACACTCAGAAAAAAGGATACTAAACTGTCACTGGGGTGGTACCCTCAAAGGTTCGTCTTCAGTACCTTTAGTTTGGGAACATAACTGTACCATAATCCATTGCAATCATATTTTTTAAGTTGTATTAACTCCATACACACTGTCTTGTCCTCTACCTTTTATTTTATTGCTCTGCTTCAAAACATTAGATTGTGAAAAGGTACAAATACACTTTTCCTGAGAAAAACATATTTAAGAATATTTAATGAAAAATGTACCTGCACGGTAGCGTGTTTCTGACAGTGTTGACTGAATGTAAATATAAATGTTTCACAAAAACATTTTAAAACAGAATATTTTTGCAGTTTAGTTTCCTTTGACTGGGGAGTGAATAGTATGTTTTTAAATATGTTCAGTGTATACATAATACATTAAACTTTTTTTTATATTTAATAAAGAAAAGAAAACTGAAAGAGGAGGAAGGTGTTTTAAATGTGACATTAACGGTAAGCTTGATCTTAAAAAAGGATTTGGCGCCATCTGCTGTATAGAAAAGGAAATAGCAAGAAACTGGTGGGTGAAATATGAAGGTTTTTTTTCAACAGATATGAAATAAAAGTCTTCGATTTCGATATTGAGCATCTTTTTCTTGCCTATTAGAGTGCCACGCTATGAGGTTTTAGAAAAAAGTCCTTATAACAGCATATATATGTATATGTATATATATATATATATATATATATATATATATATATATATATATACACACACACACACACATATACATACATACGTGTGTATGTGTATATATGTATATGTATATATATATATATGTATATATATATATATATATATATATATGTATATACATCAGTTAAAAAGGAACTCCACCAATTTTTCAAATTTTCTGCATAATTAAATGGTTCACATGTCAACATTAGAGAAACTTTGAGTCAGAATTGTTCACAGTGGTGGTGATAGGAACCAGACGTCTGAGGGGTTTAATCCCTCTGAAAGCTCCCTCACAGAAAGTTATTACATGAAAAGATGATCAGTATATTGGCCGATGTCTAAGACAGGTTTGTGATAAACATTTTGGTGTAAAATGTATTTGAATCAATTTATTTTAATCCATTCATGGTGAAAGGATACAATAAGAGTGTTCTAATGCAATATAGTCCCCCCAAAAACTTTTTTTTCAGATTTTTTCCATTATTTTACCATCATCAACATTACATATATAAACTTAGAAGACACGTGTGGGTTCACTGTAGTTTTGGATGGTAAATAAAATATATTTGTGCTGTAGACATGGTGACCCCGGTTCCTTTCACCACCACTGTAAAGAAATCAGAGTCATTAAGCTTATAATAAACCATTTCACATAGGATCTATCTCCCTTTGTTTACACTCCAACTACTAGATTGTGCAGAAATTTGGGGAAATCGGTGGAACTCCCCTTTAATCACCATTTCACCATTAAATCCACGAATAAATAAGGACCAGATAGCTGTACAAAAACAAGTGGATGTGTTTTTCAGGATTCATTTCTGTGGCTTTATTATGTGTGGCCTATTCCACGAACACACAACAACGATTCATTTCTTTAGCTTTTTTATTGGGCCTAGTTACTGTTTAACATCCCCACCCAACTTTCAGTTTGTTTAGTAAATCGATCTAATGAGGCTACCCTGACACCATCAAGTGTGGCACTGAATTTCACTCGACCGAGTTCGCCCTGGTTCAGTCTGGCAAATGAGCAGCTGAAAGCAAAACCATTTGAAAAAGTGAGAGGTTTTAATGTCACTGATACGATAGATTCGTGTTGGATCAATGCAAAATCGCTCTTGGACGGGAAGAAGGTAAGACCTGGCTTTCCACAGCAGCTGTAGACCATATACCTTTGTTTTTAGTCTGTAACAGCTTCTTACTCGGATTTTCCGTTCCACCTTAAATGAACAAGCGCCAGAACTTTTAACTGCTGCCCCATTTAAGGTGGAACGGGAAATTCGAAAAAGAAGCCAACCTCAGCGTCGCGGCTGTGCCGCTGTCTTGCCCATTACTTGGAGCTGGTTAGCCTCTGTTCCTCTGGGCTGTGTTGACCAGTCTGTGTAGCCTTTGTACATTGAACTTCATGACGTGAGCAACGTCTGCTTTCATTCATGTTACCTGCACAACTTTATAACTTCTCGTACCAGCTTTAGCCTTTAGGCTACGTTAGCTACGTTAGCAAAAATAATAACAAAAACATGTATTTTCTTCTCCAGCGCTTTTGACGACCCACTGTAGTAGTGGAGAGGATGAAGGTCAAGAGTGGCGTTTGTAGCCTGCAGCAAAATAAAATAAGGCTAGTTGGTTAGTTTATATCATGTTTTTAAAAGTATTATTATGTGAAAGTATTATTATTGTTATTATGATTATTATTATTATGTAAAATTATCAAGTAAAAATGTGGGGAGAAAGCTGTATAGAATTAATTCGACAGATGATTGCATTGTAGCATATATATATATATATATATATATATATATATATATATATATATATATATATATATATGAGAGAAAGAGAGAGACTACCAACATGTTGTTAAACCTTAAAGGGAAACTCCACCCATTTTTCATTCAGAGTGGTTTAGTGTGAAATGCTCTGTTCTAGAGAAACCGAACTGTTCACAGTGGCGGTGATGGGAACCAGACGTCAACCTCTTAAAGCGTCCTCACAGAAAGTTATTACCTGAAGTGGTCAGATATATGCTGCTTGATGTCTGACACATTGCTTTATGATAGTTCTGTGGTAAAGTTTTAGCTTAAAAATGTATTTATTTTAATCTATTTATGGCGGAGGGGTACATGCAGGGTGTTGTAATGCAAAGTAGTCCCCCCTTTTTTTAGATTTATTAGTATTTTACCATCCATCATCAACATTACTTATAAACCTCAGAAGATGCGTGCAGGTTCACTGGTGGTTTTGGGTAGTGAATAAAACGGCTACATTTGTGTTTCAGACGTGGTGACCCCTGGTTCCCACCACTGTAAAGAAATCAGAGTCTCTAAGATTCTCTACTATGAACCGTTTCACATCAAACCGCTCTGAATGTTTACATCTCAAGGACTGAATTAATCAGACATTTTAAAAAAATTGGTTGAATTACTTTTCAACCCAGTAACACAACACACAACCCAGTAAGTGCATTCAGATATTTTGTCTCTGAAAGGTTTCTCATGTGAGCAGTATAGCTGAGAAAATGACTGTATTTTATGATGTTTAGACATGCTCATTGCTCCTTCAGCTTTAAAGAACCCACATTTTAAGTGGAATAACTTGGGCATAACAGATGATTATTGACATTTCCAGGCATCATTTTAAATGCAGTTCCATCAGGAAATGTGTTTTTGTTCAGTGCTGCTTGGTTCAGTTTAGCAGTCTGTGTGATAAAGTCTAAAGACTATCGCTGAACATTTGAGACATACAGTGGCTTTTAAAAGTATTTGGACATTTGTACCATACTTGATAAAGAACTGTAATAAAGGAGAATTCCACAGGTTTGTCAAAAGTGCTGCATGATTAAATTGTTGAGATGTAAGGAAAGTCATTCAAAGTGGTTTGATGTGAAATGCTCAAGTCTAGAGAAACTTACCCTAATTGTTCACAGTGGTGGTGATGGGAACCAGACATCTGAAACATTTAATGCCTCTAACAGTGAAGCATTATGAATATGCTAATACATGAAACATTGTTTTATGAGAGTTTTTAGATTAGCATTTGTTCTAAAATGTTCATGATTCATTATGGATCCCAAAAGGAAACTTTTTTTTCCAGATAGTAAATAAAATGCCTGTTTTTTATTTGCACTGTTGACGTCACAACCTCTGGTTCTTATCACCACCACTGTAAATAAACCTGAAACAGTAAGTTTCTCTAAAACTGAGCTTTTTACATTAAACTATTCCAAATGATTTTTTTTTTATATATCTCTGAGATTGAATTATGTAGAAATTTAGAAAAATTGGTGGGGTTCCTCTTTAAGTTAATTGTTCATAGGAAACAAAATGCCAAACCAAGTGGCATTTATTTTAAACAGAGCATTCCAATATTGTAATTTTATTTTTGGCAAAGCTATTTAAAAAAGTGGTCTGCAGTCTGTTTGATGTTGCACTGAAGGTGTTTTTCTCTGAAACAAATATCATTTTATCAAACGTCAACATTTTATGTAGTAGCCCAAAGAACTTTACCAAGTTTACCGATGGTTAAAGTGTCCGAATACTTTTGGTGGCCACTGTATTTACCATTGAGATATTATTATTATTATTATTATTAGCAGTATTAATAGTGGTAGTAGTAATAGTAGTGTTAGTATTATATTCATATTAAATTGCATACAGTTTTATCATATTACATTGTAACATTAAGAAATACAATAAACAGTATCATTTTTTCTACTTTCAGTTAATGTAAAATGTACTACCTGTAACCCCTCCTTCCTTCTATTTACAGTATTTGTTATAAAGTAATAAAGTGAAAATAGAAGGTGTGACCTCCATGGTGTCATGTGAAGACTCAGAATACTTCCTCTTTTAAAGTGAGGCGTTCAGCTCATTGTTGGATTTCAGTTAAAATGTAACTTCCTCCCACTCAGAATCCAAAGCTTGTTTGATTTGACAACTGATATATTTTGATCCATTCTTGTTGGACAAAGATTTAAGGCTTTACAGTGTTTGATCCGGTCATTCGGACATTCATGTAAATAGAATACAGTCTTGACTCTTTTTTTGTAAAATCAGTCTTTTGAAAATGTTCATAGCCTGTTATTACTTATT